GCCATAGGATGAGACAATAATGGCGTCATGACGCGCTGGTGGGCCTTCTTTGGAAATTAGTCCGACGCGTTTAATCTCTGATTTTTCTTTGATTTGATGCAGGATTTGTTTTGCACCTGGAAAGTCAGCAGCTTCACGACGTTGTTTGTCTACTAGCCAGGTTAGGGCTGCTTCCACCGGGGTGGTTTTTGTGGACATGTCACTTCCGTAGAGACATAAACCTGCTTCCAATCTAAAAAAAAAAGTATTGAAAATTTTGAGAAAAATAAATTTTGCGGCTGGAATAATTATGATAGAAGAGATATTTATATATCAAATTAAAGCTATTTAAATGTACTTTGGAATTCATGACAGACATTTTAAATATTTGTTTTGTAGATGGCGTTATAAACAATCAAAATAAAATTTTTTAAATTATTCATACAAAAATTAAAAATTTTTTGATTTAATTTTATGTTTATACTAATTAGTCTATTTTTACTATTTAAATATCACGTGATAGAGAATTAAATTATCCTTAATGTGTATTTTAAATTTTCTAAATATATTGTTTATCAAAAAAGTTATGCGTTCTGAAACTTAAAGAATAAAATTTTAACGAAAATTAAATTTGTCTTATAAATTACCTATTTTCAAAACTAAATTGCGCAGAAACTACTTATTGTATTTTCTTTATTTAAACGACATTTTATAAACAATTAAATTATCTTCCAAATTCATATTGAATAATTAAGATATTTTGTTTACTATTGCAGTTATTGTGTTTTTATTATAAAATGAAAGTTTCTAACAAAAATCTTTTTTTCATAAATTTAAAAATAAAAACAAAAATAGTTATTACACAACAACAAAATATATATCAAACGATAGACAATTAAATTATCTATCATATGACATATAACTTGTTATCATATCTTTTGTGGTAATGAAATTATTCGCATGTAAACTTAACATAAATTTCTTCCTTTTCAACTTTACCTTAGCGAATCCCTTGCGCCCAATCCAGCCAACTTAACCTCTTCATTCCTCAACATTTCCTCAGCTATATACGCACTCTTAATAGCAGGAATAGAAATCTCAAATCCATCCTCTCCTGTATACCCACACCTGGATATCCTGCACCCTTTGATGCCTGCAACCGGTCCAACAACAGATTCCATGAAATACAAACTTTTGAGGTTAACATCTGTCAACTTCTGTAATGCCGCTGCAGCTTTAGGTCCTTGCAATGCTAATAGCGCTCGTTCAGCAGGATCATAGAATCGTATATTAATCTTTTCTCTTGTTTTCTTTTCGAATGCAAGTTGGCCTTGTTTCATGTGTCCCATGTCGTGTTCTTTTCTTCCCGCGTTCGAAACGACAAACAAGTGATCTTCAGCTACTTTTGTGATGATTAGATCATCGAGAATGCCGCCATTTTCATCAGTAAAGATTGTGAGGGTTGCTGAGCCAATAGGGAGGTTTTTTACACTCGCTGTTACGAGTGTTTCCATGAATTCACAACTTGCTTTACCTAAAAATTTTTATGTGAAGTTTAGGGGTGGATAACTTGAAAAGTTATTGTTGGATCTTAAAATTCAAATAAATTATAAAAATATGGTTATTTGTTAGTAATTGTTGTTAATATAGTTATAAAATATTATTAATTACTAGTGATAAAATCAATTTTAATTATTTCAAAATTTTTTAAGAAATAAAAATTTAAGTCTACTTTAAACATTAATATCTCTGAAATTATTTAATATTTTTGAAAAATTTAGACGGAATATAAAAGTTTATATAATTGTTTATAACTACAAATAATTTCATTTAAATATAACGATATTTACTATTTATTATTAATTATTTAAAAAATAACACTTTTATCAAAAAAATGTAACATCAACTTTAAATCCTAATATCTTTTAAACTAATTATTATAAGGTAACCCATCAAGTTTAAAACGATAGTTTAATTAATTACCTATAAACTGTATGAATTTCGTTAAGATATTTTAATTTATAACCCTCAAAATACAAAAACAAAATAAGTTTTCTTACCTTGAATTTCCGTTTGTAACATATGTGAAACATCAAACAAAGATGCGTTTTCTCTTGTGAAAACATGTGAATTACTAATAGATTGATCTGCATATTGTACAGGTAACATAAACCCTCCAAAATTCACCATTTTACCGCCTTTCTGCACATGAAAGTCGAATAAAGACGTTTTTGTCGCCGAACTGCATTGTCGCACATTCTTCCGAACACAATTTCCTTTACTCAAGATAATTCGATGTAAATTCCTCAACATTTTAAAGTTTAGACTTAGAAGTAAGTGCCGTAACTGACTGAATTTAATATGTAATCGATAGTAATGGAATTAAATTGATGAAGTTGAGATGATCGGGTGAAACAGGTCAACGTTGAGTAATAAAGATTAATAAAGATTAGGTTAAGTCAAAGTCAGTTACGATGGTGATTCAAGTCAAATCAGAGAGTTATCAGTGAATGATGTAAAGTTTTTATTAGTTGTGGCGAGAAAAATAAGTTTATGATGGTTATAAATTTGTTTTTTAATGTCAGTTTAACAAAAATTATAAAATATTATTTTAGGTAATTTTAAATGTGAATATCTTTTAAACTGTGAGAGATATTTATATTTTCGTACCAGCATTTGATAAGGAATTTATTTGCGATTAATATAGTATAGGTTTATAATATTTTAGTAAGTGGTTTGTTAATTACAGGTTAAAATACAATTAAATTGAAAAATTGTTAAATTTCAGTGAAATATAACTTTAAGATGTAATAACTTAAAAAGTAAGATGGATAAAATGATTTTCTTTGATGAAATGAATAAATAATTTAATTTTGCTTTTATTTGACTCGATTTGATGATTAATAATCAAAAATTCCGTTAATTACAGTCAAAATTATACAAGAAGTAAATTGGAAAAACTTTTTCAGATTTCTTTATTTTTGTCAATTTCATTGCTAAATAAAATAAAAACTAATTAAGATAACTGCAGTTTTCTTTTATTACATGATTAAATAACTAATTAAGAATATAATTTTATAAATTTTACGTAAATCTACCAGGTGGTTCAATAATTATCATAAAAAATGAAAATAAAATGCGTTTTTGTAAAACTACTAAGTTAATTGTTAATAAATTTGTATAAATAACCAATACTTAATATCTTTTTTCATAAATATATACATAATTTATATAAGAATACACAATCTAAATTTGATACAGATACACCAAGTGGTTCACGAATTATCATAAAAAAACTAAAAACAAAGACGAAGAAAATTATATAATCTAAGTTTCTGTAAAACTGGAAGGAATTCTTTGCGTTTTGTCCAGATAAAAATAGTAATTTTAAAGTACAGTTTTACACATGATGTAAATAGATCCACGTCTATGACGCACAAAGAAAAACGCCGAGAAAAAAGCGCATCGCAGCAAAACAGTTGCAATAAACTCGGAAATAAGAAGTCGAGTGTAAAAACTGAGCCGTCAGAACCGTCACAATGGTAATGAGTATTGTAATACACGTGATGGTAATGTAATGGTGATGGTAATGAAAGTATCATATTGTTGTGCGTTCTTACATGCGCGGATGCACCGTTAGCAAGACCATAATCGAGTTTTGAAGACGTTTTTGCATACATTGTTTTCTGCTGTTTCTTCTCCTGTTGCTTCGCTTATTTGCGGTTTTTCGTTAATTTTATATGCCGTTTCATTGCCTACAGAACTGTGTGCTTAATTATTTCATAATAAGTAATATACGTGTGATTATTTTGCGATTTTTGCAGAGAAACAGTGTCAAAATGTCAAAAGAAGAACTGTTAGTAATGCGGTCAAAACTTAAATTGACTTTTTTTATATTTTTGGAGATTATTACTGAATCGCTCGGTGGAATTTAACCAAATTAAACTAATATACTCTAGAATTATTGGTTTATTATGTTATGTAAAGAAAATTGTGTTATTGTTGTTAGTTTCTTAGTTATTAACAATTAAAATTGACAAAACTAAATATTTTCAAAAATATGATTTGCACTAAACTTTTTGCTTTAATTATTAAAGCACTTAGTATATTATCATGAAATTAGGTGAGTACAATTATAAATAATGCCTTTATAGTTTGCTGAAATAATAATAAAATTATTTAGTTTGGTTCATGAGTTATACGTTGTTTAAATGTTGGATAACTTTATATATTGTTATGTTTTACTCTTAATTTGCATTTAATTAGTATTTTTGCTGTAATTAACAAAATATTGGGTCAATATCTACCAAAATTAGCACAAATATTGTTAATATATGTATTTATAAGATACCAAAAGAAAAAGTAAATTATCTTTTATAGTTTTTAAATTATAAGCTTTTAAAATTTAAACTTTTTCAAAAAACAAAAAACGACACAAAAATGACTTTTGTTACAATTTTTACTATAATTATTGTTACAATTTACAAAATATTATAAAAATTAGTCAATATTTACTCAAATAATTTATCTATCATATGAAATTTAAAAAATTAAATTATCTGTATTACTTTCAGAGTTATTAGCTTTCAAAATTATCTTAAATTTGTACCAAACTTTTTTCTTATCAACTTTCTTTCGCTCACCATTTTCGTCCCTATATTAATACCTTATTGAATATGCACTCATTAATTTTGAGTACTTTGAATGCGAACCTGAACCTGAACTTGAACCACTCTCGGCGACGTGTTCGTATGCGGGCCAGACGATTAATTCGGACGAGACCTACTTCTCGCGCGCCTTTTTCGTGGAGAGGACGTGGAGGTGCAGAATGAAGACTTTGCACACCACGCATACAACGCAGCACGCAAATGTATACTGTTTGTTCGCTAACTGTACATCAACATTCAACGCTTATTGATATTCGGTGTGCGATGTCTCACCAGGGGTATTCTTCATTCAACATTCAAACATTCAACAACAAAACTTTGCGCAACAAGACATAACGCTGGGTTAACGTTGGTTTCTGGTGCTAAATTTGACGTTAAAGTGTTAAGAAATGTTCGTGTGTCGTTCACCGATGTTCAAATTGTTTATTTTATTGTTAGTCATTGTTTTGATTACGTACAGCGATGCGAAACGCAAGAAGAACAAAAAGTTTGGTAAAAATGCGTCGAATAAGATGATTTTGAGGCAGAAAGAGACTAATGCTGTTGATTTTATAAGGTATTGTTTATTATTCTATATTATTAAACTATATTTTTAGTAAATCTACTACGTACTTATTTGTTATAAATAAAATTATTGAAAAAAAGTGATATTTGATCCAAAACTTTAGGTTTTTTGAAAATAGGAAATTTTAAATGCAAATAACAGGCAAACTATATAAGATAATCCATTTTTTCTTTTAACATCTTGTTAATAATTTACTACAGAATAGTTAATTATAATTTAACACTAATATACTGAGTGTTACAGAAATTATGGCTAAATTTCCAACATATTGCATAAATATCCGAACATTTAACTTTTTGAAATTTAAGTTTAACTTTGGGTAAAGATAAAACAAAAAGTATTAACAATTTTAACAATATTCTTTCAACATATTATTAACAATTTCATTTTAAACAATTTTGTCTAATTTTATGTAAATCTACCAAGTGGTATAGAAATTATAAATAAAAATATAACAAAAAACAAGATAAAAATTATTCACATAAAATTGAATATTTTTATCAATTTTATACCAAAATAACTAATAAACTAATAAAGATAATTTACTTTTTTCTTCATCAGCTAATAGTTATACTAATTACAAATACATTTCCAAAGTTTTGTATAAATTCATAGTTTAGTTCAAATTTTATAAACAAATTTCTGTCAAAACTCATAAATATAACATTTTACATAGTTTCGCCTATAAAAATTAATCTTTTATGCAATATTTTTAATGTACAACTACAATTAACATTTAAACATTCTCAGATTAGCAGTAATGCGATTAATCTATGGCATTGCATCGCGTTTCGGCTTGGGCGAGCAGATATCTGGCGCTCTCAACGGTGCATTCGTCCCACCAGGAGTCGATCCCGAATACAGTGACTACGGCGATGATGATGGTGGCTTCGGTCTGCTGGACCGCGACGAAGATGACGATTACGACTATTAAACACATGCGAAACACCAATAACCAACATAAACCTACTTAAATCCACTTATTACATTAACTTATTCTCTAAATGTACAAAAATGTTTACAAAAACACTTCCAAAGACTTGTATATATATTATTACATATTAATTTATATAAAATAAACTATTCTCATAAAGAAATCATGTATTACGATATAATTTTATGTTTTGTGCGTTGTACCGAGTAAAAATGTATTTTACACAAGAAACCATAAAAACGAATCGAGGTAACTAAACCTGAGGGTTAGGGGTTGAACGTGTGTGGAAATCTTTACTCGGCGCGCTTTTCCGGCTTCCGAACTTGAAGTACCACGTCGTCCTGCACATTTTATTCCGGAATCCACTCCCGAGACGAGTTTGCGAAGATATTTCAGTGTTTTTCACGAGTTTTCAAGATGGATCTCAAACCGGAAGACCATCCACAGTTAAACGGGTGGGAATTACTTCATTCGGACGCAGCGAGTGAACCGGAAGCGCAGAAGTACGGTTAGTGAATGGCGTAGGTTAATTAGATTTAGAATTAAGTCTGGCGAGCGTCTGGCTGAGGGTGGGAGGACGCTAAATGCAATTATTTATTATTAAATTAATGCGAATCCAATCCATAACTCGTTAGATTTCCTCGAGAACATTGCGGAGGAGTATGGTGGTGGTAACAGTGGTAACAACAATGGCGCGGCCGGAAGTGAGCTGGAAACATGTCGCGGGGCATCGGGGAAGCGAAAACAACGACGATATCGGTATGTAAATCAATTAAAACGTTATTTTTAGTTGTTTATTGTGTGGTTTTAGTACTACGTTCTCAAATTATCAACTTGAAGAACTAGAAAGGGCTTTTCAGAAGACACATTACCCGGATGTGTTCTTTAGAGAAGAGTTAGCGTTGCGAATTGATCTGACTGAGGCTAGAGTGCAGGTTTGGTTCCAAAATCGGCGCGCAAAATGGCGGAAACAAGAGAAAAACATTCCCAAAACAAATCAAACAAGTAAACTCGTTTAAAACTTTATAATACACTTAAATATTTTGTTTTCTTGCAGTTTCTATTTGTTCAACACCTTTAGAAAGCCCCCTGATGCAAATTCACAACGATGTGGCTCACTCATCTTCAAATCTCTTCAGTTTGGGATTGGAATGGCCAATGTTGAACCCTTTTCAACCCTCAAACACAATGCATCTTTCTTTGGACTCTGATGATGGCATTCTTAATGAAACTGTATTGATTGCAGACAGGATTACGAATTCTTTGCAGTTACCAGCTGTAAATGGTATTAATATGGATAGTATACTGCTTGGGGAAGATTTTAACGATCGAATAGGTTTAATTAACGATGCAAATCAAGAACCAATTACAATTGATCCGGAATTGTTGACGTTAAAGCCGAAAATAATGAATTAAACTTTTTATTTGATAATAACAGCTTATAACAGCTATAAAAGCTTTAAATAATGAATATTAAGTTTATTAGAAACAGTTATAGATGCTTTGCTCAATTGTATGTAACTGTAAATAATTGTTTATAGAAATAAAACAAGGCGTAATGATTATTTAATTATTTTTGAAATTACTTGAAAAAATAAATTATTCGCGGTGTATAAATTAATATCAGGTTATTCAATGTAAAATTTGCTATAATTTGATGTCTTACACGATGTTTTACGTTAATTTTTACAGATTTTATAAGCAATTGAAGTTTGTATTAATTTTGCTCAAAATTTGAATTCAAATTGACTGAAACTAGCGCCACGCGGTTGCAACTGCAACAGGTCTTTTTCATGATGGCCGACGTCCATAAGAATACACGCGTTGTAACCATAGCAACGCGAAGTTTTTCTCACTTGCTGTTTCGACCAATGACAAACAAGAACGCAAATGGTGAAAATAATGACGTGCACTTCCGGTGAGTTTGAAATGACAGCGTGAACAGAGGTGAAAATAATGTAAATACAACGATTAACAACAAATAAAACAATGTGCAGTTAAAATTTATAGTGAAACTCATCACTAACCTTTGGTGTTGTCACTAGCAGTGAGTATAAACTGGTTTTTGTTGAATTAATCGTAATATTTTGATAGGTTAGGTTAACTTGGGTTTAGGTGAAGAGATTTGGTTGTTTTGAATAAGTAATTAGTGAATAATTCTTTAATGAACTTAGGTAGGACAATGAATCTTACGACGTTGTATTGAGTAACAAATTGTGAATAAACAGTGTAAAAATTTATTGAAAATCGATGCTACATCAATAGTTACAGGTATACAAAGTTGAAAACAGTTAAAATTAATTAAATTTACTGTAAATACTTATAAAAACATACAAACAATAAAAGTTTTACAAGAATATATGCTAAATGTAATACTAAATCGTTGTGTATAAGAATTGCGCCGGTAACTATAACAGTTTTTGAATTATCAGTAAAAATATAAAGTTTTTAAGTTAATTTTCATCACTATCACTAAGTTCTTCATCAATCTCTGTTGTTTTGATTGTAATCATCTCATTTCTATAAAATCCTTTCAGTTTCCTAATGAGATCACCCCATAAAAACTCCCCATCACATTTCGGACATTTTCCTACAATTGGCACGAATTCTCCAGGCTTTAAAAACAATTTACTTAAACAAATCAAGTGTGCAGTCATACTACAATCATTATTGATACATTCCAGCTTATGTTTAACAATTATTTCATAGCAAATGCTGCAAATATCAATTCTCTCTTGGTTTGTTTGGCTTGGTTGACTTAATTGTGTTTTCTTTGACTTTGAAAGCTTTTTACTTATCACAGTTCCTTCAACTATAGGCATATGAAGGGGTGGAAGTCTTTCCAGTGGGAAATTCTGTTTGAAAGACTCATCCAGCCACCGGACGGTTAATGGCAGGCGATTCCATGGTCCAACGCGTAGCATTTCACTCAAAATGCGAAGACAATAGTCGAAAACTTTCTCGCGGGGCTTCTTACGTTGTACTTTGTTGAGTCGGCGAGAAATTGTTGGGTGTTGCCATGCCCATTCAAACTAAACATCAAAAAAAGAGAATTACTCAATAAAATGTCAATATTTTAATTAAAATTAGCTTTTACATGGTGGTACTCACTCTTAGAGCTGCTATATCATTAGGAAATCCATGAATTATCATTACCATTGTCCTAAAAACACAAAATATTAATATTTTAAAGAATAATTTAAGTTTTTTAGGGAAATATTTTGTAAATAATGTTTAAATTAATTACCATGGTCCCTTTTTGCTTGTTCTTCGTGCTCCACCTGCCTGAGTGCCTTTATTGTGCTGTTTTATTCTTCTATTTGGGTTTACAGTGTAACCAATGTAGGTTCGACCCAAATATTTAGGATTTTTGCAATATAATAAATAAACCCCATGAAAATTCTCAATAACAGCTTCTTCAGACATTGTAACACATCCTAATCTATCATTCTAATCATTAAAACAAGTGGAAATCGGTGTAATTAATAAATTATCTTCATTTTAAATGTTTAAAGTTATTCAAAACAAAACTCTTAGGTTATGCTTTTGTTCTAAGAGAAATATTTCTAGTTCTAGAGGGCGCTGTAAGCTGTTTATTTGAATTATTTTAACTTTTAGGGCTTTTCTTCTTACTTCCGGTGTTTTTCATGATGGCCGACCCCTATTTAAATACACGTGATGTAACCATAGCAACGCAAAATAATTTCCTGTTAGTGATAACCAATCAGAACTAGTTTTGGAACCTTTATCACTTCCGCTTAAATTTAAATTTGGTTTTGATTAATCCTATTATCTATTTTTAATTTGTTATCTTAAATTACTGCGAATTTTGCGTGTTTGATATTAAAAAGTTCTGATATTTAAATTCAAAGTCACATAGGTTGTTAGAATAGTCGCAAGAGGTCGTTGTAGAGCGCGGATGTCGCCTAATTTTAGCTGCTGACGTTTTTCGATAGCGTTTTTTGCTTTTAGCATTAATTGCAACATTCATTAGCGACCGCACGCAACCACGCAAGGAAAATTACAACAACCAAGTGCACTATTCGTTAATCTACGCATTGAAAATATCATTCCGGAAAACGTAAGTTGTGCATTTTTGTTCTTTAACCTGTTGCTCAACCCTGTCATGACTAATTTTTATCATATTTGTCCATACTTTACGTATTCTAACACTCTAATCGCTAATTGTATTTGCATTTATTACTCACGCATTCCAAAGGCCAGGAAAATGACGGTAATATACCCAATACAAAAACCCAAACATTATCTTTTAGCAATGATCATTTTGATTACAATATTAAAGCTTGCTTTTTGTAGAGAAAGAAACAATTACAATGGAGCCTAACACATCATCCGGCCAGAACAAAAACAATATGTTGGAGCAGACCCAGCAACAGGTGAATGAAGTGGTGGGCATCATGAGGGTGAATGTTGAGAAAGTCCTCGAGCGTGATCACAAGCTCTCCGAACTGGATAAACGCTCGGATATTCTCCAGGAAGGAAGCAAACGTTTCGAGCAACAGGCGCAGAAGTTGAAACGCAAATATTGGTGGCAAAACCTGAAAATGATGATCATTTTGGGAGTGATTGGAGTGATCCTGTTAATTATCATCATTGGTAAGCATGCAATCATTGAATCAAGGTCAAGTTATAGCAATTAAAATTGTTTATACTTATAAACATTGCTGTGAGTTGATTGGAATTCTATTTACTTTTGCACCGTTTTCTTTTCTTCTTTTTATTTTGCTGTATATGCTTGTATTATTTGTTTTTGTTGATTTTGAGTTGACTAGCACCGCTTTGTGTTGTTTTATGTTATCTGGAAATTTCCACTCAAAGAATGTATTTGGTCCTAGTGTCGATAAGTTCATCGGTGGGAGGTGATAGTTCTTCGCCCGCTCCGGAGACACAGGCTCCACCACCAGCCGAACCCGCCGCCGGCAACTAATGTCTGCATATTTATCTGATTATTTCAACCGTACTGCTGGACTGCGCTTGCGACGTCGACCCATTGGCACACGAATCTACTTCTTCATGCTCTGGATGTAGAAATCATCATAAATATCATATTGCTATTATTATTTGAAAGGAATTCATTAATTTAAAGACACGATAACATGCCAAAATTTGCTTTAGTTGATTGCTTATTGGAGAAGTTTTGTTATAATTATTGCTAGAATTTATTTAATCGAAAGTTTAGTTTGTTGATTGGATTTAGTAGCGTCCTTTGTTTTTTGGTAACACTTGATTTATCGCTATCGCACGCTAATCATAGATATCATCGGAGGATTCGCAGATGCGTTGATAGCGCGTCATTCTGTCTGTAGGTTTAATTCTATTATTACTGTTTTTGTGATTAACTATACATATATTATATGTGTCCAATTTAAGAAATATTGATCCTATTTTATATTGAATATATGTATTAAATAGAGATACGAATTTGTCATGTTTATATGTAGTATTAATATGTGTTGATGGAATTAATAATAAAGCGAGAACAAAGTAGTTTTCTTGTTTCCCACCCTATATTTTGCAATGGGGTGGTCCAATCTAATTGATTTTTTTGACAGCTTGTAGAGTGAGAATTGCTCTTTAATTTGATGTATTACACAACCCCTTAAAGGGCTTGGAACACCCCTAAACATGCCAGTAAACTTTGGTATATTTTGATAATTCTCAAAACACATGGCAGAAAACACCCTATATCTCACAAACGGCTGATCCAATCTGATTCTATTTTATATATGTTATAGATTAAGAGTTGCTCTTTAATTTCATGTATGACACAACCCTTTAAAGGGCTCGGAACACCCCTAAAAACGTCAGTAAACTTTGGTATATTTTGATAATTCTCAAAACACATGGTAGAAATCACCCTATATCTCATAAACGGTTCATCCAATCTTATTCTATTTTATACATGTTATAGATAAAGAGTTGCTCTTTAATTTGATGTATAACACAACCCTTTAAAGGGTTTGGAACACCCCTAAACATGCCAGTAAACTTTGGTATATTTTAATAATTCTCAAAACACATGGTAGAAAACACCCTATATCTCACAAACGGCTGATCCAATCTTATTCTATTTTATATATGTTATAGATTAAGAGTTGCTCTTTAATTTGATGTATGACATAACCCTGTAAAGGGCTTAGAACACCCCTAAAATGCCTGTAAACTTTGCTATATTTTGAAAATTCTCAAAACACATGGTAGAAAATACCATATATCTCCCAAACGGCTGATCCAACCTTATTCTATTTTGTATATGTTATAGATTAAGAGTTGCTCTTTAATTTGATGTATGGCACAACCCTTTAAAAGGCTCGGAACACCCCTAAAATTGCCTCTAAACTTTAGTATATTTTGAAAATTCTCAAAACACATGGTAAAAAACACGCTATATCTCACGAACGGCTCATCCAATCCTATTGAAATTTTATACATTTTGTAGAGGAAGAGTTGCTCTTTAATTTGATGTATAATTCCTAAAGAACCCGGAACACCCTTAAAAATGCCAACTAAAATCATGAAATTTGTACCAAAATGTCGTCTAATTCAAGTAAAATCTGTTGAAATTTTTAAAAATTTGTTGAAAATGTGCTGAATTTGATCAAAAATCGGTCGAAACTTTTTAACCTCCTCACACATTCTGCTACCCTAATATTATTAACTAATTTTCAGATTTATTTCGAGCCAAAATTATTTAAAAATATGCCCGCTATTGCCCTCTGTTAATCATATTCACTACTACGACTGACATTTTCAAAGCTTCAAAAGTTTTTAAAAATTAACATTACTTTGAAACCTCGCCAATAGAGGCTAGTTTAATTTCAAAACTTTCTCAGCCTCCTTGGACATTCTGATCTCCTAATAGCAAACACTGATTTTCAACAATTTTGAGAGCAAAATTTTGTTTCGTAAAGTCGAAAAATTACCTTGTTATATCAGGAACGCAGAATGTGCGAGTAGGCTGTGAAAGTTTTGACAACGAGCTGTCATCTGGTGACAAAGTACAGAAGTTTGTTTCAAAAAGTTTTTGTTGCACCCTGTAAGAGCTTTCAAAAACTTTTATCAAATAAAAATTTTGGCCGACAGATGGCGCTAGTATACACTTTTAAACTTTATTTTAACACAAAATAAAAAAATTAATTTTTTTGATGAATTAAAACTTTCAGGAGACACTTGAGTTGTCAAAGGGAAAATAAAAGCAGTATTCAATTACGAAAATATATTGCCATTCCAGAATGAAACAATACAAGACAAGATATGCGTGATAATAATTTCGAAATCAACACTGATATGAAAAACGCACAGAAACTAACAATTACAGTCTTCAACTTACACTCAAAATCTCAACCGGGTGCCAACGCGACGCGACAATTCAATTTAAGTTACAACTATAGAAATTTGTTACAATTATCCTAGATTACAGTTCAGAATGCACTACTTTCAATTCTTCTATTCTACTGATGAACTCCGACTTCTCAATGCAGCCGGTGCAATCCTCGCCCCAGTCGTTGATAATCCTCTTCAAGTCTCTCACTTTGAGCTTCTTCAGGTCCACGGTTTTCAAATCAATCTGCACATCATAACGCAAATCGCAAATTTGCGCGTCCTTCTTCTTCAGCTTCTCACAAATCTTATCTGAAGGCATGGACCATGACAAAGGCTTGGACATCTCACCAAGAATACCTGTAGCTGATGTTTCTAACCCTCCAAGGTAATAACACTAAAAACAACATTTAAACAATGAGTTTTTACACAAACAATAGAATAATGTTCTAAATACTTACAAATCTGTTCTCTTTATCTTTTACTTTCTTGCAGAACTCTTTAAATGCAGTTTCAATCTTTTTGGGATCTGTTTTCTCACTCGACTCTAATGTGGCAGCAAACTTGTCCAGAGTTTTAATGCAAACCTCACATTCTCCGGCTTTGAGCGCGCTGATACTGGCCACCGATACGAGGAGCACAAGAAAAACCACTTGCAGCTCCATTTTTAATTATAAAACAGCCTGGAAAACAATTTTTGGTGAGTTATTAGGTTATATCAGTTAAAGTCATAAAATAATGAATAAATAAATTGCAATGAATGAAACACGCGCCTACCTCAGCAAGAATAAAACAGTTGACGCAGGTGCGAGCTGTGGAATGTTTTGAGCAGTCCACGTTGCGTTGGCGATGAATTAATTGCGAGGAAACGAAATCATCAGAAACCGCTAGGCGAGCTCATAGAAGTTCAACGTTTTCGACAATTTGTCCTTACGTGATTGGTCCACGTTGGGTCCCCTTAAATTCTGTCAACTTAACATACATTAAGAATTATTAACAAAAAAACTAAATTATGTTGTTTAATAATATTATAGATAAATAAAACATAAAATATAAACGTTTATTTATATTTTTATTATATTAATATTGTTTAAAATACATAAGCAACCATATATACATCAATTCCGTACAAATTTTCAAGGTCAAGCTGTCAATCATACCAGTGGCAACAAAAATGTCCTCTAACACGTACGCCATTGCGCGTAAAAGGTTAAATTAGTTTCCGTGGTGGTTTGCAGTGGAAATTATAAGGTAAGTAAAGCGTTTTTGAACGAAAAAACGCTTCTAGTAAACGTAGCAACTATTTCCACACGTTTACCCCTTTAAATTTCAAAGATCCATGCTGTATTTCGCTTGTTTGATGTAAATTTATCTTAGCATCTGCCAAGTGCACATGTTTCTGATGGCTTGACATATTTTAGAATTTCATAACAATCTTTCATGTAATTAATTGATGAATACATCGGATTTCTGTCGGTTTCAGCTAATTGCAGCTGTTCAAGATGTCGAGGTTCTTCGCCGGCAGTGATTCCGACTCGGATAGCTCCTCTGATGAGGAGGTTATCCAAAGGGCACCAATCCCAACTTACACAGTATGTATTTCAGAATTCATTATAAATATTAATTTTATAATTAATTATGTTGGTATAGTTCAGTGATGATGATGAGGAAGTCAAACGCGTTGTCCGCTCGACAAAAGAGAAGCGTTTTGAAGAGCTCACAAACATCATCAAGCAAATACGAAATCACAAGAAGATTAAGGACATGAGCAGCATGCTTACAAGTTTTGAAGACTTGCAGAAAGCTTATGTGAAAGCAACGCCTGTCATCGTTAAAGAAGAAAATGGTCAAACGCCGCGCTTTTACACGCGCTGCTTGGTGGAACTGGAGGATTTCATCAATGAGATGTGGGAGGATCGCGACGGGCGTAAATCAATGAGCAAAAATAACAGCAAATCACTGGGATCAATGCGTCAAAAACTCCGTAAATATCTTAAGGACTTCGATGAAGATCTTGCGAAATTCCGCGAAAACCCAGACCAGCCTGATGAAGAAGAAGAGGAGGAGAAACGTGAACCCGAAGCTGATTCCGACTCCGAAGTCCCGGCGAAACCTGCGGCTAAACAAGCCGAACGTAAAGTTTCTCCTGATGACGATGAAGACTCCGACTCGGATGATTGGCCCTCAGATTCCGAGTCCGACGAATCCTCATCAGATGATGAAAAGTTCACAAGTATCCGAGAGAAGTTCTTAAAGAAAACCGGAGGTACGCAAGAAGACGACGAAGAGAAACAACGCTTGAAGGAAGAACGTCGTAAAGACCGCAAGGATAAAGAACGCCGTAAAGCTAAACGTGAAGAAGACGATGATGGCGATGGTGAATGGGAAACCGTCAAGGGTGGAGTTGCTATTCCCAGTGAGAAGCCCAAGATGTTCGCCAAGGATGCCGAAATTGATTTGAGTCTGGTAATTAAGAAGTTGTCCGAAATTATGGCAGCTAGAGGCAAAAAACGCACGGATCGTCGTGAACAGATTGAATTGTTGCATGAACTGCAGAATATCTCTGAGTTACATCAACTGGGACCGGCGATTAGTGTCAAGATTAAGTTCGCGATCATTTCGTCGATTTTTGATTACAATCCGAAGGTTTCCGATGCAATGAAGCCCGAATATTGGACTAAGTAAGTTTGTAGTATGAAATCTGATGCAATTGTTGTGCAATATTAAGTTTTGTTTTGTTTATAGGTTGATGGAACGCATGACTGAGTTGATGGACACTCTACATAAACATCCCGAAGTTATCATCTCTGAAAATGTCACCGATGAGACGGAGAATTATGAAACTGTGCCGTATCACGTGCGCGGGTGTGTTCTCACTTCTGTGGAGCGCTTGGATGATGAATTCATCAAGTTATTGAAGGAGTGCGATCCTCATAGTAATGAATATGTTGAAAGGTTAGTGAATTTTAAGGTTTTGTTAGGTAAATTTGTATTTTGGAAGCGCACAACTTCAAAATTAACAGAAAAAAAGGTAATTGTCTTTTGCTATGTTATAAATAACTATTAATGAATATTCTGACAAAATTTTGAGGTGATACACTGGGTGTTGTGGTAATTAGAGTTAAAATTACACGATTAAACAATTTTTACGGTTTACTACTTGAAATTTACTTGAAAAAAATGTTTAAATACCATACTTATTTATGTATTTTGTAGATTGAAGGATGAATGCAAAGTGGCAAGTCTTATTGAAAAAGTCCAGCTGTATTTGGAACGCACCAGCGTCCAATCAGAACTATGCCGCGTTTATCTTCGCAAAATCGAACACTTGTACTACAAGTTCGACCCGCGTGTCCTACAACAAAAGCAAGGACAAGTCCCCAAGGACGTCATCACTTCCGTGCAGGAAATGGAAAAGTTATGTCGTTACATCTACGCCAAGGATGGCACCGACCGTCTGCGAACTCGCGCCATTCTTTCGCACATCTATCATCACGCTCTTCATGACAACTGGTTCCAAGCCAGAGACTTGGTACTCATGTCACATCTACAGGAGACTATTCATCACTCTGATCCTAGCACACAGGTAATTATTTATTATTTTATTATTTATTTATGAAATAATCATTGAAATTTTCTTATTAGATTTTGTACAATCGTACAATGGCACATCTCGGCCTCTGCGCCTTCCGCCATGCAAACATCAAAGATGCACACAACTGTCTCGTCGATTTGATGATGACTGGCAAACCCAAGGAGTTATTGGCGCAAGGATTACTCCCGCAGCGTCAACATGAGCGCAGTAAGGAGCAGGAGAAGATCGAAAAGCAGCGCCAGATGCCATTCCACATGCATATTAATCTTGAATTGCTGGAATGTGTTTATCTTGTGTCTGCAATGCTGATCGAAATACCCTACATGGCTGCGCACGAATTCGACGCACGTCGTCGCATGATTTCGAAGACTTTCTACCAACAATTACGTTCTTCTGAGCGCCAGAGTTTGGTAGGACCCCCGGAGAGTATGCGTGAACATGTCGTCGCCGCGGCGAAAGCAATGCGCAATGGACACTGGGCCGCATGCAACACTTACATTATCAACGATAAAATGAATGCCAAAGTGTGGGATTTGTTCTATCAAGCGAACACTGTCCGTGAAATGTTGACGAAACTCATCAAAGAGGAAGCCCTGCGCACTTATCTCTTCACTTACTCGCATGTCTATGATTCTATCTCCATGGCGACTCTGGCTGATATGTTTGAGATGGAGAAACCGAATGTGCATTCGATTATTTCGAAGATGATCATCAATGAGGAGTTGATGGCTTCGCTGGATGATCCTACTCAGACTGTTGTGATGCATCGCAGTGAACCTTCGCGTCTGCAATCGTTGGCTATGCAGTTGGCGGATAAAATCAACAACTTTGTGGATTCTAATGAGAGAATCTTGGAGACCAAGCAGGGTAACTTCTTCCTGAGGGGTGGAAACCAAGGCAACTTCCGCGGTGATCGCCAGAACTACAGGAATAATAACCAGGAGTGGAACAGGCAGCGGCGCGATAGGGATAACCATCGTGGTGATCGTGATGGACACCGCGGTGATAATCATCGAGATGGACATCGCGATAATCACCGGGATGGGCATCGTGACAACCACAGAGATAATCATCGGGAGCGTCGTGAGAACAACTATCGCGATAGGGATAATTAGACGAGTTCAATTTGTATATGACATTTGTATTAGCCAGTGACCTGGCGCATTTCCAATTGATGATTACACAAAATTCAGCCGTAATATTTTGGTTTTTCCAGTTTTTAGAGTCAATTTTCTCGATTGTAATCGTATTTTTAATTAAACTCTTAGTTTTAACATTTATGCCCACATTGTTACAGAAGAATAAGTTTTGTTTTAATAAAATGTGCTGGAGAATTGAATGTTTGAGTTTATTGAATTTGAATTAAGGTTCTCAAAATGTTTTGTGTTAGTTTTGTACTACTGGCGACCTCTATCGGCCAAAAACTCAACCGCGAAAAAGTTCTAAAGCTTTGTGTACAGAGCGCACTCTGAACTTTCAAATATGAACTTTGCCTCGTCGCCACTAGATAGCAGCACAATCGCGAAGCTTTTATCGTCTCTGGGTTTTTAATATTTATTTTGTCGACTCTGCGAGGCAAAATCACGCAAAATTTGGTCTCGAAACGGTTGCAAATCAGTTTTTAATATTCGGATCGCAGAAGAAAGTACGAGGAGGCCCAGAACGTAAAAAGGCGCGTTAATTTAAATTTTAAAGTTTTGTAGCTTTGGAAATGTCAGTTGTGATAATATTTCTCATAGGCAGAGGGCACTACCAGTTCTATAATTCTGCTTTTTGTGTACATACTTGCAGTTTAGTAGGTTAACTGTTTTATTTATAATAATGCCTAATTGTGATAATTTAAACGTATGTTAAGTACTTATACTAATTACTCAATAGTAAAGCTTTGTTTTCTTTCATTTTAGACCTCACTCAACATCTCTGTTGATGATTTTTCACCAATTGCCAGCAGTTCGCAACAATGCAATGTTACCATGCAACAAGTGTTATCGAATACCAACAAAAGTCTTCATTTGTTGAAAAACCCAGACAAAAACAATCAAGAAACAAAGTTTGATCACATGTCAACCTCTGGGTTATGGTCTAGCTTTGAGAAACACAACTCAAATGAAAATGAACAAGAAATAACTTTGGTATGTTTTGATATGTTTAAAATTAGCTTAGTAGAGTTTAAAATGTTTTAATACAAGTATTTGTTGTTAATTTTAGACACAGTTACATAACATTGGATCTTCTAGTATACTCTGGAATTTAAAGTCATGGATAGATGCATCAGAAGAGTTTCACAAGGAAATGGAGTATTTAAATATAAATACTATCAAGAAACAAATGAAGAATTTGGTGGTGCCATTTCTAGTTGCAATCATTGACAAAGAAGACTGTATTCAAGACACTTTAAATGTTTATAATAGTGCTACATTTATTCTAAGAGATCCATCAGGTAAACACTTTAAATTTGTGTGCACATATTGCTTAATTGTTTGTTTTCTTATTGTAGGAACAATTAAAGCTGTGATTTCCAAAGATATTCTTAATGAAAATGAATATCTTGTTTCAAATTCCGTTGTGGTGCTCAGGAACTTCAGAGTTTTACAAATTAAGAAAGTATACTATATTATTTTAAACAAACAGAATCTGGAAGCAGTGTTTACGGGACACACAAAAGTTTCACTGCTAGCTCATCAAGAACTTCCAAAACATAATGTTTTTATAAATACTAAAGAAACTACTGATTTGCCATTAGAAAACAAAGAGAATAAGGCAGAGAAATTAACTAAAACAAGTTCTGTTATGCCAAAGCTAGCTTTAGAGTTAAATATTACAGACAACTCTAAAGTCTTCAATAATTCAGTAGTAAAATGTGATACAATGAACAAAACTGCAAATGCAAGAGACAGATTAAATCAGACTTCTTTTAAAATGCCTGATTTAGATTTTGATTTTGATGGTGAAATAGACTGTGATACAAATGAAGGCAGTAATCCCTTGAAAAGGCAAAAAATAGATGTTGAACATGCTAAGAAAAGTGATTCTGCTATATCTATTGATGCAAACTGCACTGATATTAAGAACAGTTTGGTTAATGTGAAACCCAAGCAAGCATTTAAGTTTGTGAAACGAAAAATAGAATTAGACAATAAGATATCAAATTTTGGATCTCATTTAGAAGAGCCACAACTTCAACAGACTGAAAAACCAGATATTTCCAGTCAAGTTGGAAGTACAACTGAAAAGCCTGAGGATAAACAGATTGTCGAGCAAGTATTTGAGGGGTTAGATGTATCTTGTTTGTTGGATGACTTTTAATGTTGTATTTTAGTACTTTTCTTGATTAAATGTAATTGTAAATGAATAATTGTTATAATTAAGTATTATTAGTTAGTACAGATGTACCCAAATAACAAAAATCAAATTGTTAACTTATTGTGTATCAAAATAAAATTAGAAAATCCTGCTACCGCCCTCTGTGAATGAAAAACCACAACAACTAAAAGTTCTATAGCTTTAAAGCTTCATCTCTACAGTGCGCATCATTAGCTTTCAAATATGAACTTCTACCTGTCGCCACTAGAGGTCAGCACAATCGCGCAGCTTTTATCCGCTATGTTCACTTTCTGTGATCCTAATATTCAATCTTTATTTTGTCGACTCTGCGAGGCAAAATCACGCAAAATTTCGTCTCGAAACGGTTGAAAATAAGTTTGTAATATTCGGTTCGCAGAAAGTACAAGGAGGCTGATACAGGTTTGGCGGCAACTTGTAGCGGCGGGTAAAATTAATGTTTAAAAATCTTTTTTCAGCAAGTGCAGCTTCTGTATAATTGGAATTTTTAAATTCTGTTTTCGGATTCTGTAAGCTAATAAAATTTTATATCGACTAGTTAAAATTATTTTCTTAACATTGACCGTTTAACAATTTGCAATTTTATAGAAAAAATTGAATATTTATGGAAATCAATTGAAATAACATGTATAAAAATCTGGCGGGAACTGTCTATGCTCACTTTCTGCGTTCCTAATATTCATTCTTTATTTTGTCGACTCTGCGAGGCAAAATCGCGCAAAATTTTGTCTCGAAACGGTTGAAAATAAGTTTGTAATATTCGGATCGCAGAAGTGTGAGGAGGCTGATACAGGTTTGCGGCAACTTGGCGGGTAAATTAAAAGTTTAAAAATAAAAGGTAGGGAAACTTTGAGAATGTTAGTTGAGATGGTGTTCATCAACAGAGGTCACTAGCAGTCACTTTAAATTAATTTTCGTCATATTTTTGTCCGTTTTTGAAATCTGAAAACGAATAAAACTAGGGATAAAAAATAATGATCAAAAAATAATCAAAAATATTATTTATTACAAACACAAATTATGGTTACAGAAAGTTTATACAATATATATCAACTCTTTTACAAACTAAATATATAAAAAAGTGAAAATCATCCATATGGTTCGCGAGTTACAACCAATTTTCCACCGCGTGTTCCTACAAAATCACAAATAGAGCTATTTTCAATTGCCATTTTTAGGGCACTTCTAGCCGCACTACAGGGTGAATCTAACGCGCTGATGAAAGAGCAACTCTCTAGCTATAAACTCATGCAAAGAAACTAAAAATCACCCTTATGGTTCAAGAGTTATGACCAATTTTCCATCGCGTGTTTTCACAAAATCACAAACAAGAGTGTTTTCAGCAGCCATTTTGGGGCACTTCTAAGCGCACTACAGGGTGAATCTAGGGCGCAGATGAAAGAGCAACTCTTTAGCTATAAACTTATGCAAAGAAACTACAAATTACCCATATGGTTCGCAAGATATAGCCCATTTTCCACCGCGTGTTTTTAAAAAATCAAAAACAAGAGTGTTTTCAGCGGCCATTTTGGGGCACTTCTAAGCGCACTACAGGGTGAATCAAGGGCGCAAATGAAAGAGCAACTCTTTAGCTATAAATTCATACAAAGAAACTAAAAATCACCCTTATGGTTCAAGAGTTATGACCAATTTTCCCCCGCGTGATTTCACAAAATCACAAACAAGAGTGTTTTCAGCGGCCATTTTGAGGAACTTCTATGCGCACTACGGGGTGAATCTAAGGCGCAAAGGATAGAGCAACTCTTTAGCTATACTCGTACAGAGAATCAAAAAATCACCCTTATGGTTCGTGAGTTATAGCCCATTTTCCACCGCGTGTTTTCAAAAAATCATTTGTGATATTTTCAGCGGCCATTTTAGGGTATTTCTAGACGCAGTACGGGGTGAATCTAGGGTGCTCCACGGCAATGTAAGTACTTAAAAAAATCCCAAATAACCCTTACAGTTCGTGAGTTATTACCAAATGGGATAAATGATCTTATAGTAAAGGTGCAAATTAAAAACCCTACTCAACAACCCCTGCAACCACATCCTCATTCTCCAATCCGTCTTCTTGTACTTCATCCGCCGCATTTACACATAAATCTTCATCTGTTTCCCACGAACCAAACAGCAAATCCTTGAGTTGCCGAACGGTGATTTCTGCTCTAGTCCATTTCGACTTATCCTTGGATGATGTAACCCTTTGGATGCTCGCCTCGATACTATCCCTCATAATAAACTTATGAACCACAGTTTTCCTACAACAATAAACCAAAAATCAACATACTATTCCCAACACTATAACAAAAAATATATCAAACAACCTTTTCTGACCAATACGATGCACCCTTCCAATCGCCTGCAGCTCCTCGGCAGGATCCAGAATCGGCTCCGCGAAAATCACATGCGTAGCTTCAATTAAATTCAACCCTTTAGCCCCCAAATTCACAGGCAGTATCATCGCAGTAACGCCTTTCTCCACATCTTTAAAATCCTCAACAGTTTTCACAACCTGCTTACCACTCATAAGCACCACTGACTTAATATCGTTCTGCTCAAAGATATCCTTAAGTATCTTCAACACAGGTTGAAACGACGAAAATACCAGCACCTTAACACCCTCTTCCTCTTGCATCAATTCCTTGATGAGTCTTACAATCCTGCCAACTTTACTTGAACAGTTTCCATTGACAACAATATCATCAGTCTCCACAACTGTCTGCGGTTTAAAAAGCGACTGATCCACACAGCTTATCTCAGATAAAGGCTGAACTTGTCTGCAGACCGCACAAGTAATTTTCTGATCCGCACGAACCATATTCCTGCCCACAATGGTCTCCATACAAACCAGACAGAAGGCATGGCCACACTGCATCATGTTCCACGACTTCTCCAGTGGATATCTACAAATCGGGCAAGGGTCCAAGTTTTGTTCGTCGCGATTATGCAAAGAGACGAGGTACTTATTCGTCCCTAAACATTTTTCTAACTTTGCTGTGTGTCCCTTATGCTCTTGCTCCAAATTAAAACGATAAACATCAATCTACAACAAAAAATAAATAAAATCATCAAACACATTCAACATCACATTAAAATATAAGCTTACCTCGTGTTCGGATAACTCATTAATATGTTCTAAATTATTAGCTATCTCATTTGAGAGTTGCCGTAAAACCCTATGCTTCTTAGGTCCATTTGCTCCTTCCTCCTGCTCGTCCTTCAACTGCAACCTTGTTTTACAAATCACCAACTCATCATTCGCACAAAGTTGCGCTTCGAGGTACGTCCACGCCTTGCGCAGCTCTCTAAACTCCTTCTTTTGTAACTCAATCATCTTCAGAAATGTTTCACCATCTTGCAACGCATCACTTAGATGTTTAAGCTTTGTATTCGCCAATCTCACCAGACCGGTAATAATCAACTCCTGCTCGGAAGGCTGCCAATTCTTCTGCTTACCACTGGCAGCTAAATCCTTTTGAAACAACACCTCTTCATACTGTTGGAGAAGTTTATTCACAACACAAAAACGGCATAGTTCTGTGTCTGCTGCTTTGCGTTTTTTATCAGGTCGCAGATGACAATCGACAGTCTCACGTATAATTTCAGGCGTGAATGTTATACGTTCACCGGAAGGAGTTATTTCATACAGATCATTAACACCAGTCATTGCTGCCTCACGCAGAGTTCCAATTGATGTTAACCAAGTCATAAGATATTCAATGATAAACGATTGACTTGGACGACTGGAAAATTCAAAAAAATATTAGTAAATATAATATAAAACACATAATAACTTACAATTTAGTGTTTTTTAAATTCTCCAAAAGTCGCTTCACACGTTGCATCAGCATATTCTTCAAATCAGCCGCAAAAATCCCCGCTACAAGATCAGCATACCAAGCATCATCATTGGTCATCTTCTCTTGTAAGTCACCGATATTCTCACTGACTTCATTCAGGACTTGTATCACCTGTTTGGTTTGATGTTCGTATTTCTGAATGTATTCATGCTCTACATATTCTTGTTTCGCTTTCAACTCAACCCCGGAAAGTTTCACATCTTGCCCTAAAGAATTACTCAAATTCACCGACAGATTCTCATCAGCTTCAACCAAAAGCTTTAAATTATATATTGTGTGAATCATTGGCAGTTTATCAATCGAAAGATCTTTATACTTCTCTTCCAGCTGCATTACTTTAACATAAAACTCAGCAGCAGTTAGTGGATTATTCAACAAGAGATATAATCCCGCCAGGCCATTATACGAAGCAATAATCATGCGTAAATGATCTTCGCAGTCGTTCACATTACGCGCAATGAGCGCATCAAGTAATTCCTGCATGGAATTCACAGGTTTTTTGGTGAGTAAATATCTACCATTGACAACATTGTGATGAACGCACACTCTACGCAGTGCTGATACAGGTTGTAATAAACCTTTAAGCTCACCAGCGGACATACTCATTAACTGCATGAATTCATCCAATTTCGCTGCTTTTTCCAGGAATAACTTCCGGCATTCTTTTGTTTCACAATCGTAGAAATACCGCTCGACTTGTGTGAAATCCACATGATGATACCGCACAGTCTGTGGCGGAATATCAATCTGATCCAAAACCAAACACTTTCTTGTCCTCCATAAGACTTTAGCAAAAATTCTACTAAAAACGTCTCATCTCCATTCAGATATGTATTATACAGAGTATTCGTAAAAATCTCGTAGTCATCAAACGGTGCAAGATGCAAATATTCAACCAGACCATAAAGATCTGCGATTGATATACTCACAGGTGTACCAGTGATAGCCCAGCGGAAATCCGCGCGTAATTTCTGCGCCATATTAGCAACCATACTTCCGGCATTCTCTACAGTTTGCGCCTCGTCTAAACAAAGTCTTTTCCATTGGACAAATGTAATCGCTGAGCCTGGTGATGAATATTTCCTCTGATTCCGTAGAGATTTACCAGCGCATTGATCAACGAAATAAAACTCATTTTGCAGGACAGTGTATGTGGTCACAACGACATCATAACTGGCAAGTTTTGTTGGATAAACCGGTGTGAGGATATTAGATCCATCATAACAGAGTACATTTAGATTACGTCCGACATGTTTGGCGATTTCATTGAGCCATTGTTGGCACAAACTCATCGGACAGACGATTAACGTACCTTTGGAGATAATCGGTGGGTGTTTTGACCAGCATTGTGAGCAACGAAAGGGCCCGCAGGTTTTATCATAACCCACGCAGTTGTAGTGCTGTTTTTTATTACAATCAACACAGGTTTTGAGATTTCTTTCTTCGAATGATCCGCAGATACAAGCAACGTCGTATTGTTGTTTTTCTCTTTGGTCCCATACGGAAGTTAGGGTTTTCTCATAGATGATTTTCATTCGTTCACGTAGAGTAGTTGCTTGTTCATCAACGGAAGCTTCTCGGCCATCTTCCCTCATCACTGCGATTGTATACGCTGGGCGTTTGCGTTGTCGATGAACACAGACTTTTTTCTCAACATTTTCTTCGTTATTTTCGTTTAAACTGTCAAAATCAGCAAGGATTATGCCGAGTACTTCAATGGTTTTACCCAAACCCATTTCATCGGCGAGTATTGCTCCGTTTTGTGATGCTTCAATTAAAGGTTTCTCAAGGCAGACATTGCCTTGATACTGATCGAAATAAACTGTTAGAAATGGCAGTTTTATTTGTACATAACTAGGATGCATTTGTAGTCGGGACTCATCCGTCATGCTACTCGCTGCTTTTTCTTTTTAAGCATCCATTTCACTGCGTCTTTTTGATATGGACGTAAAGTTGGTCGCAACCATTGAGATTGTATGAATTCAGATGGATTTTCTTCTTTTTTGATTAAATCTAATTGATAATCACGAATTTTATGGAATACTTTTTCGACTGTGTCGATTGTATCAATTTTTTTCTTTGCTATTAATGAAATATGGATTAATATATAACTTTATAACTGTTTAAATGAAATAACTTAATAAATTATTGAAATTACTTACATTTATTTAATGGTTCACATCCTATGTTGTATATCATGTTGAAAAGTTGTGTAACAATCCGTCGTGTCTTTAAAGCTTCATTTTGGAACGGAAGTTGCCGGAAATAAACCTTTAGCAGGACATCTTCATTTGACTTTTCAAGATTCAAGTAAAACTTTTTACTTTGCAATAAAGCTATCAACAAAAACAGTTTTATTAATAACATAACTAATAAAAATATGTAATTTACCTTTAATAAATGGAGAATCCACTTGTATTTCAATGCCCCAGAGAATTTCTTCATCTCTTAACACAACTAAAATGTCCAATTCATTGTCTCTTTTAATATGTACATGAGAATTTGTTTTGAGTTCATCAAAACCATCCAAACGTGGGTAGTTATCCGAAATTTTACCCAAAATAAAACTACCAATATAAAATTCTTCTTTGTTCACTGGTGGTAACACAAATAGCAACTTTTCTTGTCTCTGTTGCCTTTTTTCTTTGGCTGTGTGGGTTTCTTTTTAATGATAATTGGATAATCGTAATTCATTGTAGATATTTAGATTGTAAATAAAATGTATTAAAAATTCTTATTGAGATAGTTATCACCTAAAATGAGTTTTTTTTTGTTAAAACTAAGAACTAAGTAAAACTTGGGTAAAATACTTACATAAATCAATACGTCCGCTTATAAACTACACTGTCCAACTTTAAAACACTATACTAATTGATTAAATAGTTATAAAACTTATAAAAGATCACTTATTTTATTAAACAATTGCGAACGACCTGCACAACTTTTAGAGGTTAGAGAGTTGGTGTAAACAACGCTCGAAAATACTTCAGATAGTTTTGCTTAGAGGGCGCTACTGGTAGGCTTCCCAAAACCTAGTGTTACGCATTAATTGTAAACAATTAAATAAACGGTTTAAACATTGTTTACAACTACAAACAACAACCCAATCATGATTAGCAAATGAAACATGCATATTACTATTCAAAACAATATATTTTGTAGCTTAAACAGTATGATTTGTTAAATAATTATTTGAATTTAACACAAATTCGGTAACACTCAATCTATACTGGTTTATATTTTTACCGACAGATGTCGCCACAACTTGTTATTTAACATAGGCAACTTGAACTACATATTGATATACTGGGTGTACCAAACTACAAAAAGCTATAAAACATTAAAAAATTAATAAAACAAGAAATATGCATTTTTGTTAGAGTATATTTATAAAAATATTATAATAGAATTATTACAATTGAATTTTCAAATAATTTCAACCCAGTTTTGAGTTTAAAATAAGAATTATTCTTGTGTTACCCCCGTTGCATGCATGTACTTATTCAATATAAACAAACAACAAAAACAACTTCAACTGACTAACCTCTCACTGTGGAAACACCCAAAACCACAAAAGTTATTAATATGTAAGCAAACAACATTAATTCCCAATAATTACTTACTGTAAAATTCCACAGGGCGGAAAACAAATTAGCTCTGTGTCCATTCGACGCCAATCATGTTGTCAGCGCCGACCGCCTCCAGAACCACATCATAAAATGCATGAAGAAGCATCCCAACCATCTCACCTGCCCATTCTTTGCAGAGCACAAATTCGTCAACGAGACTGACTATAAAATGCACATCTTGACCTGCCCAATGAAGAGACACTTCTATACAGCTGCCATTCAATATGTCCCAAAGGCATGGGAAGGCGCCTCATCATCATCAACCTATAACAATAACAATATCAACAATGTACCAATTGAAAATGATGATGAGAATTGGTAATCACAACCAATCCACGATTATATCTGTAACCAAACTTGAATATTAAACAATAAACGTATTCCTAACATAGACAACCAACCATACATGAAATTATTGATTACTATGACTTACACAACAATAAATACCGGAAAAGGGAGAAAGCAGGAATGTAATGACACGAGGGATGATTTCAGGGGGATGCCGGCATCGCTATCAGTCCATATCGTGCCACGCAATAGCTTATCACTTACATTTTACAAAAATCACACAAAAATAAACAATTTACAGACATAAAGTGATAACAAAAGATAAGAACAGTGTTAGTTTATGATATAACACACAAACAAACAAATAAAACGGAAATAATCAGTAGGAAGAAGAAATACTCGAAATTGAAAGACTTTCAAGTGAAAAACGTGTAAAAAACAACGAAAACAAATGAAACACGTGGAATTTTTCGAGCGTAACAGTAGTAAAACCTAACGGGACTTTAATTCGAGTGCAGCCCAAGTGGAAAACTACGAAATTTGACTTTACAAGTAAGTTCTATGTCTACAACAAAAAGTGACACAGCATTTTTAATACGAAACAAAAAAAGTACTCGAAATTAAAATTAAAATTAAAAAGCAGTTAACAGCAGGAATGAGTGAGATAACACGAACGAGCGAGTACTTATGTTATGAATTAACAATGATCAAGTCCGACTGGTTGAGTTTGTTTAGAGTTCAACTATGCTCACCGAGCGAGTGCTGGAACAGTCGTCGATGTGCGACGATCACACGAATCGGCCTCAAGTTAACTCAGTTGCTACGTGTGCACGTTTATTTATTTATTGTTATTACAACCGGCGGCAAGCTGGTCAAGCATTCGACTTGTTCGGCACAAAGCCAAGCATCTAAAACATCAAACATTGAATTAATATCGAAAAGAAACAATTTTTAAGTAAATTTTAGTGAAATCTAAGGTATTATTGAAGGTTTCCACTTGATGATGAATAAACCAAACTGGAAACTAGTTTAATAGACCAAGTTGACTAGTTGTACGCCTCACGCGATTGTTACAAGTCGTGTTTCGCTGTTAAGTAATTGAGTAAGTGACTTAAGTAAGGAATAAACATAAATAAACAAAGTGCAGCACGAAAAACTGAAAAACCATTGAAAATTGATAGAAAAAAGGTCAGAATTGTTATTTAATAGACATTTTGATGTGAATTTCAAGCAAAAATAACTTGATTCGCGTTTATGTTAAGCAATTCGACGCTTCAAGGCCGTCTGGCGTCGTTTCCAGTCGTGATGCAGTTGTAATATTAACATTAGCTCGATAAAAATAAACTTTACGTTTCAAAACCAAGAAAAATTAGTTATATCATAGTGTATTAACTAAATATTAACTAAATATTAACTAAATTCTTGTTATTGACCTCTTATCAAGTTATTATGATTATTACATTATGATTACGTGATTTATGCGTTATCACTATCGTGTAAGTGTAATATTTGAAACGTTTTCGATGTCCGAAATGCAATTTTGCGTTGTGTCCACGTTATTACATAACATGTACATTCGTACATCACGAATAATAAGCGATAACCGAAATGATATGCATCGTAAAGGCATTAACATCGTATGACTTTCAAAAGACGATAACACTTGGATCCGAGTAGGTTTGTGCGGTTCTGTCAGTTGTAATCTGATATTACTACGGGAAGGTTAATAAAACTTGTTCATTTCTGACTTTGTGACATATTTTTTCGAGTTTGACTTTGACTAACCTTTTTTTGTATCCTGCAGAATTTCCAAAGGAAAATGGCGGCGAATAACTCCAGTCCCTTTCTGTATCGAAGATGGATGATGAATAACAGTGCTGCCGCCACGCCAGCGGCCGGAAGTAAAGGATTGAAAGGAATTGTTGCTGGTAAGTTGATAATATACCCTGAAATATGAGTATTATATTAATTATACAATTAATAAATGTGTTTTTAAGGTGGTATTACTGGCGGAATTGAAATTTGTATCACCTTTCCCACGGAGTACGTAAAAACGCAATTGCAGTTGGACGAGAAAGGCGACAGGAAGAAATATAACGGTATCATTGACTGTGTGAAGAAAACCGTCCAGGAACGTGGTGTTTTTGGTCTCTATCGCGGTCTCAGCGTGTTAATCTACGGATCTATACCGAAAAGTGCTGTGAGGTACTAGTGTAAACTTAAAATTTGTGTATGTTTGGTTGCCTACATTAATTTTTCAATTTTATAAATAATTTTAGATTTGGAACTTTTGAACAGTTGAAAACTTTCCTACAAAATGAAAATAATCAACTTACGCCAATCAACCGACTGCTGTGTGGTCTCGGCGCGGGTGTAGGTGAAGCTATTTTCGCCGTGACACCCATGGAGACCATCAAAGTGAAGTTTATCAATGATCAACGTCTTGCAACTCCGCAATACCGTGGATTCCTGCATGGTGTGACGACAATTGTGAAAACAGAAGGTTTTGGTGGGTTGTACAAAGGACTCACCGCTACTATACTCAAACAGGGTACCAATCAAGCGATGAGATTCGGCGTGATGGAAACCCTCAAGGATTGGTACCGTGGTGATGATCCCAATAAAAGCGTACCGAAACCGGTTATCGGTGTTTTCGGTGCTTTCGCTGGTAAATAATACAAATTAATCAATAATTATTTATAAATATTAATATTATATACCTTTTGTGTAGGTTTTGTGTCCGTGATGGGCAACACCCCGCTGGACGTGGTGAAAACAAGAATGCAGGGCCTGGAAGCAGCGAAATACAAGAATACCTTCGATTGCATGCGACTTGTGTTCGTCAATGAAGGCGTGAAGGCGTTCTATAAGGGTACCATACCAAGATTGAGTCGTGTATGTTTGGACGTCGCCATTACCTTCATGCTCTACGAGACTATCATCGACGTGTTCAACAAGGTGTGGCACTAGGTCCCCTGACTGTGTTCGTCATTTCTGCAACAAAAAGATAAAAAGATTAGGGACCGCCGCCATTTTTATCACAAGCCAAAAATCATTCCACTATGATTTTAATTTATACAATATATTCTATACATATTTGTGGCACGTTTTTGGGGGGAATGTGTGTCGAGAGGCGTATGTTTGTACATTTTTAACTGTTTAGATGCTTTTTCACCGTGATAGTTGTAGATATATTAAATAATTTGTAATAAAATTTATTTCATACGTTGATTTTGAAAAACACTCTGTATAGTAACATGTAAGTCTGGTTGCAGATACACAGATCATATATCTATATATACTAAAAATTGATAGTCTGTCAAAAAAGGGGGGATATAAACTGTCATTGTATATGGCGTATAAAAAATTTGACAGTTTTGCAAAAAACTATCCTTGTGATATATATGAATTTTGACAGTTGGTTGACAGGCGACAGCTCAACTGCCTGAATGGGCTGTGAATGCGGCTGATTTTCTCCGTTCGCAAAGCGCCGCCCGACTTGCCCGGATGATAATATCAGCTTATCATTCGCCCACAATCACCGACGCCCGTGCGCGCACCGTGGAGTCATCGCCATCCGCACGCCCGCGACTTTTGGGGCGCGCTCGCTAAATGCGCCCGAGTGCAACCGCACACATTGCAAGTCACTGAAAGATGGCCAAGGATTATGATCACTTGTTTAAATTGTTAATAATTGGCGATAGCGGTACGTAGCAATCAAGAAAACACTCAAAACATCAATTCACATATTACACCTGAACAACTCACAACAAAAAAACATAATAAAACACATTTAATAAACATTTTTCTATGATTTTTAGGGGTGGGCAAAAGCTCTCTGCTGTTGCGCTTCGCCGATAACACATTCAACGGCAGTTATATCACCACAATCGGCGTGGACTTCAAGATACGCACGGTGGATGTGAATGGCTCGCGAGTTAAGCTGCAGATATGGGACACAGCAGGGCAGGAACGATTTAGAACAATTACTAGCACGTAAGTCATCAAAAACCACAAAAAAACATTAAAAAAACTCATAATTATTAATATTTTAGGTACTATAGAGGCACCCATGGTGTAATTGTGGTCTACGATGTGACAAATGGTGAATCTTTCGCGAATGTGAAGCGATGGCTGCACGAAATTGAACAAAATTGTGATGTTGTAAATAAAGTGCTTGGTAACTATACATTTACATCAAATAATCCCAAAAATTAATTTTAATTTCTATGTTTTTATATTTTTAGTGGGGAACAAAAACGATGAACCAGAAAGAAAAGTCGTACTCACCGAGGACGCGAAACGCTTCGCCAGCACGATGCAGATCGAATTGTTCGAAACGTCCGCAAAGGACAACCTCAACGTCGAGGAGATGTTCCTGAGCATCACGCGTGAAGTCCTCCGGCAGAAGCTGGACATGCGGGAGCGCCAGCAGGGCGATAATCAGGACACCGTCAACCTGCGCAAAGCCAACAAACCCAAGCGGAAGAACTGCTGCTAGCAGCGCTCTACAACCAACAAAATAAAAACAACTCCAGTCAGCAGACAAGACAGTAAAAACAATAATTTTACAATTAAGAAACAAACAATATTCAAAAAAAAAAAATGAAGTAAGTGCATGATTCACATGTGTGCTACAATTCCAATTTGTTTGTCGTCGCAATTTGATACTAGTTAAGTATGTTTAGGTAAGCAAACGTAACGCAGTACCCAAAAATTATTTTTTAACGCCCCACTTATCGTACCGAATGTTTGAAATTAACAAAATGAGAGACAGAACTGATGATATTAACCTAGTTAATAGCAGATACATCAAAATAGCAAACAAAGCAAGCATTTGTTAACCATTATTCGTTTAGAGTTTGTGTGTGCGAAATAATTGCCAATCTAATGATTCCACTCTTTTAGTTTATTACTACTTTATTATTACTATGATGATGATGATGAAGATGATTCTGTACTATTGCAACTTATGATGATGTTATTGTAAATCTATATTCATTCTCCCTTTGTATTGTATTGTATGTAATTAAGTAAGGAGATTATTTTTATGAATTCTTTTATCAGTGCGCGTGTGAGATGGCTGCGTGGTGAATTGATGAATGTTGTTGCATTTTATACCAGTCATATCTATCCGATGATGTTGAGGTGCAGTGCGAAGAGCAATGCCGGATTGCTTTCGGCGTTTGTGAATATTTACATACATACATGGACACATGATGAGAAATGATGTACTTTGTGTATAAAAATAAACAAAATCATGGAATTTTTGGTTTTGGAATTCGAAAATGGAAATAAAGTTGGTTTACCTGTTGTGTGGTGGATCAAGATGGCGGTGGTTGACGGTAGAAAGGGAGAAAACTGAAAGATAGGCAACTTATAATACAAAATACATGAAAATTGCAGAAAAAAGTTAAAAATTAATAAATTAAACGAGAAATAATGATTTTTAAATATAAAACATGACTTTACTAAAGAATTTTACATAAAATTCATGTTTTTTAAGTAACAAAAACATGATTTTAACTAAAATTCTCATAAAAATAAGGTTTAACCTCAAGAAAATCACAAAAAATGTTAAAAATGAACTAATTCAACATTAAACAGTTGATTTCTAAACATTAAACATAAGAAAACTTGTTTTTATGCTAATTTTACTTAAAATTCATGTTTTTACTAAGAAAAACACCGTTTTAATTGATAATTTAAGCAAAATTATTCTAAAAAACCAAATGTGGCCCCCCATTTTATGTAGGCAACCAAACATACACAAAAATCTAAATTTACATCATTTATATCAAGAAAATCACAAAATATTGTTAAAAATCAAACGATACACAATGATTTTCAAGCATAAAACACAAAAAACTACTTTTCATACAAATTTTACTTAAATTTCACATTTTCAAGCAAAAAACAAGATTTTAATCAATTTTTAAGTAAAATTTCCATAAAAAATCAAAATAACCTTCAATTTAATTCTAAAAATCTAAACTTGACACATTTACTAGCAATCTCTAAATAACACTTGAACAAATCAAACATTCATGCGGGTACTTGGAAATGTTAATCATTATCACCAACTAAACAAATACAAATACAAACACGGAAACAAAATAAACACGAAATAAACTTACGCTCGATTGCACTTTGATTGCGTCCATATTGCATGAATCCATGAATGACTCACAATTGATACCAGCACATGTACAAAACAATTAATCTTCGATTCTGTTTCTGTTTCTCTTTAAATTTTCATTCTCTCTTTGATTCTGAGTCACTTTCAGTGAGTCACAAGCACAAAGTCCACTCAATACATTCACTTAAATTAAACTTAATTAAATCGTAATAAATATCCCTTTGTCAATTCTTTCAACATACAACATATAATTTATATACTTTAAGCATGATATCATAGAGATTTGTGTTTGCATTGCGCCCAAACGCATGAAACAATGAACTTTGGGCACGACACGTGCAATATTTATATTATTATATTTTGTGGACATGTGGGAAGCGATTTACTATCATTTTATATTAATCTAGGTATATTATTTTTTGCCTAGGATGCGATTCATGTCTTTGTTCTGTTTCTGAATCGTTATATCCGCCGTTTCGGTTTTGTACATGATACCTTCAATCAAACCATTCTGCGTGTCGATTTCCGATGATAAATCAGAAGCGAGACCTTTCAGACGACCAATCGACGAACTCATCTCGTTTAAATTGGCCTCCAGTCTCTGACTGATCTGTTTACTGCCTGAAGGTGACGTTGCGTTTGTATTATAATCAGCTGGGAGGTTTTTTAACCTCGTAACTGGGTGATTATCATATCTATCGTAGTTATCTAACGTTTCGTTTATACTAGATGAATTTGTAACCTAAAAATTTTAAAAGTTTTAATTATAGGTTATTTCAATGTAAATGTCAAATTTTTTATAGGTTATGTTATATACTTTTGTTGTTGAAGGTGTGCTTGGTGTCCCAGTTGGGGTTTTATCATTCCTGCCGGACATGTAGTTCTTCAAACTGCTGAAAACACTCTTGATGCCATTGATGTGTTTTTGTGAGAAACGCAGCGTGTGATTGATTTCATCCAGTCGTTTATCAGTTCTTTCAAGTTGTTCGCGTTGTCTGGAAAGTTCTTCAGCAGTGGCAATGCCGATTTGTTCAGAGTCTCGTAACAGGCCAATAGAGCGTTCCGAGCTTTGTATCGTGCGATCTTCGATCTGCCTGCGGCGTTCTTGGAATGATTGTACTTGTTCGTCGAATGTTGATTGTGGTTTGTTTCGAGATGCTGAAGAATTACGGAGAAATGTCTCGTCATCGACGTCGTCTTCGTCGAATGGCGTTGTGGAGGACGTGTAACGATGGCCAGACATTTTTATTGTTCTTGAGAGGTGGTTATAGGAACACAAAGTAGGACAAAGTACGTTTTTAGTTAATTAATGAGCGAATATTGTGTTGTGCTGTGGGTTGACTGTTGTCGACTGATGATGGGCTGATTTTTGACAGGTTAAAAGGGGGGAATGTGTCAAAAGCAACTGACATTGAAAAATATTAAAAATTAAATGAATTTCAACCACAAAATAGTAAAAAATGACTTAAAATATATATAAAAACATTAAATAAATAATATTATTAATAAATATCTTAATTATTTATATTTTATAACATTTTTAGTTTAATTTTTATACATGTGTATACCTATCCCCCCAAAGTGTATGTTTGGTTGCCTATGTTAACATACCATATGTATACTTTAAAAACTTTTGACCAAAACTTTGTTTGTAACAAATCAGTTAAAGATAACTAAACTTCGATAGTTACCTAACACAAAAAGGTTATCCAGGCTTATCTTATCGCCATTGCGTGGAGTAATCATTCGTTGACGACACAGAAAGCGATTAATAAACTAAAACGAAACAAAAGGGCAAACGACAACAAAAAAACACAATATCTACACGATTACGCCAACTTTTCGCTGTTGACTGTGACTCTGACACTGAAGCTCACGCTTCCACTATGTTTCGCATAAATCGATAACAGATTAAGCAATTCAACGCGCAGCGCATCACAAAACATGAAATTTTACTGATTTTAATATGAAAACAAGGCTGAAACAACTTGAATGATTGTAAATTGTAATATTTAGCGTTGATTAGGTGTAATTGTCACGCCTCGAGCGTTTATTACATCAATTTCGGCTTTGTTTTATCAGAGAGAATAGAATTGTGTTTTAATTACGAGCGGCGGCGACGAGCGAGCGCGTTTTAATTTCGCGACCAGATGTCTATGCGCACATTCGACGCCGGAGGCTGAGACCACGCTGAAGGCTACAGTTTGAACAGTTTGAAGTTTTAAGTAATAATACATACGATTGCTGACGGTTTACAGTTAGCGCATTGGTAACGAAATATAATTAACACATTATTTCGACATTTTCAACGGGTAAAAACTTTAAATATTAAATATTTCACTACATACTTGAATAAATCAACTAAAAACACAAAAAAGTTAAAAACGCGCAGTAGTAGAAATTTTGTTGAGTAAAGTGCTTAGTATGTTATACGTGTGTAGAAAATGAAAACCGGTTGAGTCTTGGAGTTTAACACAAAGAGACAACAAGATACTCATCGTTGTTGGATGCGGCGAGCCGGAAATAAGCACAATATTGCTTCTTAAATGGAAAATAATCACATTGTAAATATTTGTGTGTGTATAATTTACATGGCGCGCGGCTGAGTGATTCAGAGTAATATAAAATATAAATAAAAACAATACAAGTGGAAAATTGCGGTACAATGGGTGAGAAGTCTGAGACGACGCCATTTCGAACGGTCACGCCGGGTGGTAATCAGAAGAGATCAACATGGAAACAAGTAAGTTAATTTAAATTAGTAAAAATTGTAGGATTAGTGAGTGTTTATGTTAATTGTGAAAGAAATGTTGAGATTTTTTGATTTTTGAGAAAGTTATGAGTGTTTTTGGTACAACTTTCGTTTTTTTTTAAGAATTTTACTTAAAAAAACTTTAATTTGTATGTAAAGTAGCCTAATATTCTGTCAATTTGATTGACAACTATCCGCAACCATCATAACCTCCCATATTCTTAAAATAACTAAAAAAATACTAAAAACTATCAAATTTTTAAGTTTTAGACTTAATTATGATAGAAATTATGTAATTATTTGTTTTGGGAGAAAGTTTAGAGTGTTTTATGCGCAATTTTCGTTTTTTTTTTTTAGAATTTTGCTCAGAAAATCTTAGAAAATAAAGATTTTGACTTAAAAAACCTTATTTTGGTTGTAAAGTAGCATAATATTCTGTCAATTTGAATTACAACTATCGGCAACCACCATAACATCTAATATTCTTAATATAACCAAAAAAATACTAAAAACTATAAAATTTGTAAGTTTTAGACTTATTTCTAACAGAAACTTCGTGATTATTTGCTTGGTAAGAAAGTTACGAGTGTTTTTAGGGTAACTTTATATATATATTTAAATTTTGCTTAGAAAAGCTAAAAAAAGAAAAATTTTGAGGCAGATAATCTTATTTTGGTTGTAAAGTAGCCTAATGTTCTGTCAATTTGAATTACAACTGTCAGCAACCACCATTACATCTAATATTCTTAATATAACCAAAATCATACTAAAAACTATAAAATTTGTAAGTTTTAGTCCAATTTAGGAAAGAAATGTTGTAATTATTTGTTTTTTCAGGAAGTTAAAACTGTTTTTAGTACAACTTTCGGTTTTTTAATGAATTTTGCTCAGAAAAGCTAAAAAAAGAAAGATTTTAAGTTAAAAAATGTTATTTTGGTTCTAAAGTAGCCTAATATTCTGTCAATTTAAATGACAACTATCGGCAACCATCATAACGTCTCATATTCTTAATATAACCAAAAAATAACTAAAAACTATCAAATTTCTAAGTTTTAGACTTATTTATGACAGAAACTATGTGATTATTTGCTTTACAAGAAAGTTATGAGTTTTCTCAGCGCAACTTTCCATTTTTTACAGTAATTTACTCACAATAACCAAAGAAACAATGAAATTAACTTTAAAAAACCAGTGACAGTTATAAAATAGCCTAATATTCAATCAATCTGTAAAAAATTATCAAAAAAATGTCAAAAACCATCATAATCATCAATATTCTCAACATAACATAACTAAATTCATTAATTTACTCATATTTTCATTTCTTTAAATATTTAACATATTCCATTGCCTTTCTATCAACAAAATTCTCTAGATAATCCAAAAATGCATAACACCCACATCATTATCCACCAAACAGATAATAAAAACCGAAAATCCCGAATATTTCCACGTTCCCAAACAAACATCATTTCCCAACATTTTTCCACATAATAATAATATAATAGGATTAGCGCATTTTTATGTATCCACGGCTTAATATTCAAGGAATCACGCCGCATAAACAATTCCCGGCACAGATTCGCGCTGCAAATGGAAATTCTCCGATTTTCGTCGCGTGTGGAGAAAAATGAAATTGCATCACTTCAAACGAATCACACACAATAAACCCTAATCTATTCCAGGTGATATCAAAGCGTCATTGAGCGTGAGCGGTGTGTGCGCGGATTTATAATGTAATTCAAGAGACTCGCGAGATTAGCGTCTTGTTTTGTTTGATAATTATTTGCACGGCGCGTCCGTGAGATGAACAAGCATGTCGAATACTGATATTACAATCGGGTTATCATCTAGAAACACATCATAAACAATTATTACAAGTGTCAAGTACAAATAGAATTGTTATGACATAAATACTTACTATTTTTATGATTTTGTAGATTATATTATGGAAATGCGAAAATATAATGATTTTTTTACCTTTTTTTCTTGGTTTTTAGGTGATATTAGCCCTTGTGGCATACTCAGCCTCTTTGGCACCGAGCATGAGTATTGGTTTCTCTGCTGTGGCCATTCCTGCACTCATATCTGATGAAGTTGCGCCGTTGACAATGAGTCAAGCATCATGGTTTGGTAAGAAGTTTAAATTACCATAAGGCCTTGTTTTAACCTCAAATTTCACACAATATGAATGTTTTTCCTTTGAAACTTGATATTAAATTCACAATTTTTGATAATTAACGCAGTTGGTTTAAATTTTCACAAGATATTCGCAGAAATTTCTCGTTTTTCGAAGCAAAACAATGATTTTTATGTTTAAATCTTTGTTTTAAAGAGGTTTAACACTCCGATATTACACTTTCTTTAATTTTTGAGGTTATGTTTTGTACCTACATGCGACAACATGTTGCTGTAATGACAGAAATGTTGTGATTCTTTGTTTTTAAGAAAGTTATGAGTGTTTTTAGTTCAACTTTCTATTTTTTAAAGAATTTTGCTAAGAAAAGCTAAGAAAAGGAAGATTTTGAGGCAGAAAAACTTATTTTGGTTGTAAAGTAGCCTAATATTCTGTCAATTTGAATGACAACTGTCGGCAACCATCATAACTTCCCATATTCTTAATATAACCAAAAATACACTAAAAACTATAAAATTTGTTAGTTTTAGACTTATTTATGACAGAAATGATGTGATTATTTGCTTTGAAAGAAAGTTACAAGTGTTTTTAATGTAACTTTCAATTTCTTAAAGAAATTTTCTCAGAAAAGCTAAAAAAAGAAATATTTCGTGTTAAAAAATAATTTTTTGGTTGTAAAACTGGTTAATATTCTGTCCATTTGAATGACATCTGTCGGCAACCATCATAACCTCTCATATTCTAAACAACCAACCAAAATAACACTAAAAATTAACAAATTTGCAACTTTTAATCTCATTTCTCTCATAAAATATTAAATTATTTAATTTATAAGAAAGTTACGACCATTTTAACTCCTAATTCCTATTTTTAAAGAAATCCACTCTCAAAAAACTAAATTTTAACCTCATTCTTTCTTCCTCCATTAAAATTACACCCAAAAACCACTAATTTCCCTTTTTTACATTTTTACAGCATCTATTGCCTCGATAGCCACACCCCTCGGCTGCCTAATATCAGGCCCAACCTCCGACCGCCTCGGGCGAAAATCCGTCCTCCTAATGGTAAACCTAATCACCTTCATCGGCTGGATAACAATCGCCGTGGCAATGGACTTGAAAGACGCACGCTATGCCACACTAATCGTCGGCAGACTTCTCACTGGATTCAGCACAGGCTTCGCCAGCATGCCTCCTGTTGTCTACATGTCAGAAGTATCCACGCCTCGATTACGAGGAGTTTTCACCACGGCCAATGGCGTATTCTTCGCTATTGGAATATTAACAGTTTATGTCTTCGGAGCTATATTCCCAGTAAGAATTCATGTTACATCATATTTATAATATAAAAATCGTATATAAGAATCGTAAAATGTGTTTGTAAGCGCATAACTCAACAACGCCTTCAGGAATTTTGCTATTTTTTTGTTTAAAATGTCGGTTAAAGTCCAAAGAAGGTTTTTACAGCGAGAAAAATTAGAATAATTGACGGGAAAACCCTAAAAACAGCGTTTTTCTAAAGAATAAAAGCTGGCAATGAAATTCAATCATAGTTATAGTTAAATATTTGAATTCCAGATGGCGTTGAAGTGCATTTCGAGCAATTTTTATATAAAACTAGCTTTAACCCTTGGCTTCGCTCGCGAATATCTAAAATAATGAAGTTGCTTCCGTACGCGTCTGTAGTCGCAGAAGAAGTAACAATGAAGTAGAATGGCGGGAAGTTTAAAATGGCTGAAAGTATAGTCTATGGAAGTATAGTGTACAGTCTCCATAGTGTAGTCAATTGGATTTGATGTTGACGTAGCTGTCGGTAATACAGTGTGATAATACAGTGCGATGGCACTATAGTACTTAGGTTTGAGCTTCATTGCTGGAATGCTAGATGGCGTTAAAGTAGTCAAATAGCCAGATGCAGAGGTATTATTGGCTAAACTATTTCTTTATTTTATTTCAAAAATAATTTTTTTTATTAAATAAAAAGTAGCCTATAACCATTCGGGGACCACTAAGAATATGTGTACAAATTTTCATGATGATCGGTTAAGTAGCTTTTGCGTCAAAGTGTAACAAACATCAGGACTTTCGCATTTATAATATTAGTAGGGATTAATTTCTTTGCAATAAAATCTCGAATCTTTTGATAGAATTGACATATACTAAGTCTAAAACAAAAAAATCGCGAATAAAAACTACTTCCTATCAAAAAATATAAAAACTAATAAAAAAAATCTAACTTCCAGGCTAGTTGTGGTACTGTCGCCGTGCTAACCGCCATCTTACCATGCATATCCATGGTCCTAGTCACATTCATCCTCCCCGAAACACCGCAATGGCTCGTCACCAACAACCGCATCGATGAAGCCAGCACGAACATGCAACGCATCTACGGATACACCGAATACACTCCGGAGATCTACAACGACATCCAGGACCTCATCCAGCGTCGCGAGGCGAACAAAGTCACACTGAAAACATCCACGGAGAATTTATCAAGAAAAATCCAAAAATTCTTCGAGCCATTCAGGCGCCCAACGTGTTACAAACCATTCTTAATCGTACAAACCTTCTTTTTCTTTCAACAATTCACCGGGACATTCGTAATAGTCTTCTATGCGATTGATATAGTCGAAGAGGCAGGTGTACAGATTAACTCATACATCGCCATTGTTTTAATAGCATTCGTGCGGTTCTTAGGCGCTGTTTTAGTCTCGTTTATAAGTCGAAACTATGGCCGTCGTCCAATCTCGTTGATTTCCGGTGTTGGTATGACATTCACAATGTGTTTACTAGCTGTTTATTTACACCAACAGTGGCAGGGTGTGTCATGGCTGCCATTTGCCTGTCTCATGGTGTATTTCTTCACGAGTACGTTGGGTTTCATAACTATGCCGTTCGCATTGGCAGCGGAGTGCTTCCCAGCGGAGATCAAAGGCACTGTCACTGGTGTCATCACATGTTTCGCGTATTTGTTTAATTTTATCGTCGTGAAGATTTATCCGTCGTTGATTGTAGGCATTGGCGCGTTTGGTACGTTTATGTTTTATGGATTGTTTAGTGCTGCAGGCACGTTGTTCGTTTATTTCTTACTGCCGGAGACTAAAGGTAAGACTCTCGCGGAGATTGAAGAGTATTTCGGGGGGAAGAGTAAATGTAGTCAAATACAAAATGGCGATGAGAGTGTGCACGAGAAAATGTTACAGGCTTCGTAGATTAGCTTTATATTATTGTAACATTGTGTATATTATATGTTTTCGATACAAAAAATATCTCTGCGTACCTACCTGTTATTGTGTCGGCGAGAATTCGGTGGGGACCAGAATACGACAATGCATCTCGCGGATTAATGGAACAGTATAGGCAACACACTCATCCCAGCCGGGTGTGCGCCATGCGCTTTCACGGGTTTCTTTACGAGTGTTTAAATCTTTATAACCTAAAAATTTAACCAAAAAAAAATTTAAAAAACATAATTTTTTACTTATTAATATAAATATTTTTACTTACACCAGATGTGATGCACATTATACAGTCTCCCAATCTGACTGAAGAACCCAGCGAAGGGTTCCTGGTTGTTTTGTCTGACTTTAATGGCGCGGGCCCAATTGTTGCCCCATTCAATCATGGTGCCTGGTTTGAGGGCATACGAACGTATTTCGTAGATGTTTTTCGCAGGTTTTTTCTCTATTCCTGGCCAGTAACTGAATGCGAGTAGATACTGTAGATGTCTGGAACGCATTAGTTTAGCTTGTTCTTCTTGTAGTTTGATGTAGTCGGAGTTCTCGGCGAGAATCTGCGTGGTTTCGTCGATTGTTTGGAACCCGCCGCGGAATTGCCATAAATGCAGAGCTTGGTCTTGGTCGCCGACGTTGACAGTCCAGGAACCTACTAGGTCCACTCCATCGTTGATTTCTTTGATTGAGTTGAATAATTGCATGTGTTTTTTGCTAAACAGAAAGAAAACATGTTAAAATGTGTTTATAAATGTAGTGTAGCATTGAATTAATGAAAAATTTAGTCAAAAAGCTTAAAAATTGAAGATTTTGTCTTAAAAACTTATTTTGTCGGTAAAGTAGATTACTGTTCTGTCAATTTGATCGACAGCTGTCAATAATTAATATAACCTTTTATATTCTTAATGTATCCAAAAAACATACTAAAAACTATAAAATTTGTAAGTTTTAGACTTATTTATGATAGAATTATTTGCTTTTTGAGAAAGTTACGAGTGTTTTTAAGGTTATTTTCTATTTTTATAAAGAATTATCCTCAGAAAAGTTTAAAAAAGAAAAATTTTTAGTTAGAAAACCTTATTTTGGTGGTAAAACAGATTATTATTCTGTCAATTTGAATGACAGCTGTCAAAAACCATCATAACCTCTCATATTCTTCACATTATCATCAGAATATCATTTTTACTCAAATATTTAAGCTTAAAATCATCTTAAAAATGATGAAACACATGTAAAATACTAAAAATCCCAATATTTGTTATTTTTTGTTCCTAAACACAACAAAACCTCACTTTAACTCAACAAAAACTGAACCTTGTTGTAAAAAGACAACACCCTGTAACAACTAATAACCTCACTTTTATATCATACTCACACATTTTCTAAGTATTGTTTTTTACAATCCGGCCGATAATTGTGTGTTTGCAGCGAATACACAATTTCTTTATCACTCAGCATGCGACTATGCGACTCTTTCGTCGGCTCTATCTTGCGCACCATCAGTTTTGACAACCATTCTTGTTTTGTCGGCGTCGTTGAGATGCACCGACTGAAAACACATTCATCATTAACAATATTACAACAAAATTTAATAATTAAACTGTATGCTTACTTGATCCTCGTCGGCAAGTTCAAGTTTTTGATCAGTTTCAAGTTAGCCATGCTTGCGCTCTTCGCGTCGATTATTCAATCAGGGAAAAAAAAGCGAACAGCGATGGAAAGTTCCGACGACGCTACGCATTCGAAATGATAAGCGCACAAATGAAAACAGTGCACGCAGTAAACATTCTACGTAGTTCAACTACTACATGCATGTAGTAGTAGTAGTGTTGTTCATGTAGTGCATATCATATACATATCCCCCCAGTACGAACAGATGATGACATTGACATTTCATGGGGGGATAGAATTAACCTAACCTAAAATAATCACAAAATATTCAAAATCTCGCCTGAAAATGTCCACAAATCGTATTTACGTGAAAATTTACGCCGGTAATTTGATCTATGATCGTCTAGCGATCAATACCGCATCTTTGAAGCATTTTCAAGCCTCAGAAATGATAAAAACCAGCTCAAAAGTAGTCAATCTATACAGGCTGCGATTGAGTGGTGTTACTTTACACTGCCTTATAAAAGCACTCACAGAATGTCAACAATGTCGCGATGTAGTGTTAAACTACCTTTTAAACGTAAATAATATTGATAGGGTGCGGATACATTTGATGCCTTTGTCAAATTGTGAAGATACAATTGATTACAACTGGTAAGTTATGTAAAATTAAATAAAAACATAAAAATTTTATCAAAATCATTAAAATTTTCAGGAATGAAAAGTGTAATTATATGGTACGTGAGCGCTGTGAATTGGACCACACCCTATCATGGTTATCCACACTCGGCGGTGCATTTTCCGCACTTGGAGATTATTTTGTTGATTGTGCAGAGACAGCCGCAAAAATCTCCGCGCATCAATTCCAGTTGGCGCTGCGTTTGGGTGATGCTAACATCGCAGCACGTTGTAGACTCTATTACGCGTTGAGTCTCATACAAAAGAAAGAATTCCAGCTATCAAAACGCTTAATTCTAAATGAATATCACACTGCAATGAGTGATACAATCCTCGACCATAGACTAATCAAAATGTGTAAAGGAATCTGGTCGAAATTGAAATACGAATCATCTTTACACCGCAAACCGAACAAAAACAAACAAATATCATGATAATTATTAAAAAATGACGGGGATTATTGTCTTGTTTGTTGGTTATTGTTAATTTCGCATTAATTATTTATGTAATGTAATATATGGCATCTCATATTCTGATATCCGCTCTTAATCTCAGGTAATTTCTTATGTTCTTATGTTAAAATACGATTCAAGTGTTTCGAGATTATTCGTTCATTTCACGAGATTTTAAGCGAGTGTGCCCATTGGGTCCCATGCAGGCAACACAATTGGCTCCTGCTTGAACACGTCCATTACACTCGCCGGCACGTACTTCTTATCCACGACAACTTCGAAGACAAACTCGTGGAACCATGGCACGGACATCACGATGTATCCTTTCTCGCCTCTGTCCTCACCCCAGGAGTTTTCCACGCGTAATTTCGTAACTTCACCTTGACCCTGCATTAAATATGAATTTTGAGGTTAGGTTTTTAATTTTAAGGTTATGTTTATATTATGCTTACATTTGTCTGCACAGCGGTGAAAACCATCGCGTGCGTCATGGAACTATCACCATACAGCAACCTGTCGGCTTTGGTCATGGTCTTCTGAATATCCAGATTAAAAACCAGCGGGAAATCATGGACATCTAGATCTAATATTCCGAGTTTACCAGCGAAGCGTTTGGATACCTCGCAGCCGAACCACACCGGTTCGCCATCTTTAATACTCTTCGCTGTTAGTTCCAATAAGAGTTCAGCTGGTTGATTGTTGTAAATGCATCGACGGCCGCCGACCATGTTCCCAAGACAATCTACGGTGTAAACATTGCCGAAAGGATTCGTGGGGCGTGGATCCGTCACCAGGCAGACTTTGTCTTCGATGTTGAAGACTGGTTTAATATGCGTTTCGTAGAATTCGCGTGGGGTGATGGGGCCGACTGAGTGGTAGGCTTTGTTTTTGTCGTAGTACTCCCAGGTGAATTTCTCGCTGGGCACGCCGAGGCAGATGCCCACCACGCGGAAAATGTTGAGCATTTGGTCCTCGATGAGCATCTTCACGTCGGCGTCCGATGCACCGGAGCTGATTTTATCTCGGATTGCTTTTGCGTATTCTCTATGCTAGAAAATGGTAAAATTTAGTGAATTTTAAGGTTTTTTTGTCATTTTAATGAGGAAATAAGTTAATTTTGGGTGATTTATGTAAGTTTAAGCTTAAATCTTTAGTTTTTCATACATTTTTTGTTGTAATAAGCCAGTAATTGATCAATTTGAGTCAAAAAATCGTGAAATAATCGATTTTTCATAAATTTTTTATCGAAAAACAAAGATTTAAGATTAAACTTAGACAAATTCCCCTAATTTTTTTCATTTTCGCGTTAAAAATCCCTAGAAAATAATTTTTACAAAAACTCTAGCATTTTATGTAAGTTTAAGCTTGAATCTTTCGTATTTCATACATTTGTGGATGTAATAAGCCAATAACAGCTTAATTTTCACCTAAAAATCGTGAAATAACCGATTAATCATCAATGTTTCATCCAAAAACAATGATTTAAGATTAAACTTGCATAAATTCCACTAAATTTACTTCTTTTCTTGTTAAAAATTCCCTAGAAACTTGAATTTTACGAAAATCAATGCGTTTTATGCAAGTGTAAGCTTGAATCTTTAGTTTTTCATACATTTTTTGTTGTATTAAGGCAGTAATTGCTTAATTTGAGCCTAAAAATCATGAAATAATCGATTTTTCATAAAATTTTCATCAAAAAACAAAGATTTAAGATTAAACTTAGACAAATTCCCCTAAAATTTCTTATTTTCGCGTTAAAAACTTGATTTTTTACAAAAACTCTAGCGTTTTATGTAAGTTTAAGCTTGAATCTTTAGTATTTCATACATTTTTTGATGTAATAAATCAATAACTGCTTAATTAGCGCCTAAAAATAATGAAATAATTGATTATTCATTAAAATTTCATCCAAAAACGAAAGATTCAAAAATAAACTTACATAAATTCCCCTAAATTTTCTTATTTTCGTGTTAAAAATCCCTAGAAACATGAATTTTACAAAAACCATTGCATTTTATTTAAATTTAAGCTTGAATCTTTAGTTTTTCGTACATTTCTTAAAGTAATAAACCAATAACACCTTAATTTTTACCTAAAAACCATAAATATCCAAAGATTCAAGATTAAACTTACTTAAATTCCCCTAAATTTCCCCATTTCCACATAAAAATCCCCTAGAAACTTTTAACTCACTTTGCTTTTAAGTATCGAATTGAGCCGCATACTCTGCTCGCAACTAAACGTCTCCGGAAAGTTCTTCTTCGGCATAACACCATACTTAGTAATGAGATTCACCAGCATATCCCACTGGCCGCCATCACTCGTCGGATCATTAAGTAGAAAAGACATGAGTCGCCCATCGATGGACTCCCCGCGCTTCGTAACCTCAGCGACATTATTCAAAAAAAAGTTACTGCGTTCGATCTTATCCCAGAAGAAAAGATAGCCCTGGCTGAACTCGAACTCCTCCACGGTGAGCTTCTTCATGAATGGCACACGCATCGCATTGAGCACAGCGAATATCCAGCAACGCCCGCTGCTCTTCTGATTCGTGGTGGGTTTCACCTCGTCGACTTTGTGATTGAAGACGTGGAGGGGTTCCTCGAGGTATTTGCGACTAAGGCACACGTCGAAGGGGTCCACGCGCGAGCACACGTTCTGCGCGAAGATGTTTTTCTTATCCGAGGCGAAGATGGTGCGCATCTTGGCGATGACGTCCTTGTCGAGTGCTTTAACAACAGGTTTAACTGACCATTACATAGAATAAAATAGATTAGATTTTTTTATTGGGGATAATGTGGTTGTGGGGTTGTGGTGTTTTGGGGGGACTTACACGAAGGCGGCACCTTGCGCTGCCCCAAGGTGCTCCGGCACATCGTCCGTGTGAGAAATAAGCGTGTGAAAGACATGCTGGACGGCAGGTTGGAATTTTGATCGCTTGATGTTACTTACGTGTCTCCATGTTTTTTTTTTTTTTGCTAACTACAACTTGTGGCGCGCGTGTGAGTTGATGTTTGTTTGCGCTGTATGATGTGACGGAGACGCTTCGTGGTGGACGACAGTCGCAAGTCACTCGCTTCGCCGTTTGACAACCGACGACTGCGGGGATGTGCCGGCCGGGTACGTGCACCGACCTGTAACACACTGGATCATATATAATACACATCTGGTAATGGATAGTGTAGAATGAAGTTTGAATCAGAGCGCAACTTTTGAATATTATCAAGTAAATCATGTGTGTAATCATGTGGTGAGGTAATTTAGTGATGTGCTTACCATCACTACTTTTTTCGAGTTGTTGACAGGTGTAATAAGCATGCGCAGTAGTACAATCGACATTTTCTAGGGTTTTTCTTTCCTATTGCTCTTTTTTTAGTTCTGTCAGTTGCCCGTTGTGGTCGTCGCCATTTTGGATTAATTTTAAAGCTGGTTTCTTTTGATCTTCTTGCCATACACTTAAAAGTAGATTTTAAAACTTATGGTATATATATATATATATATTTAGAATATATTTATTGATAAAGTTAACGTGATATTAGATTACAATTTGGTGAGAGTTGGACATGTTGATGGCGAAACATGTCAAACTCTCCCAAACCTAAATTTGTGGAGTAAAAGATCGTTTTTCAATTGCGAATATCTTGTTAACTAAAAGAGATAATTAGGATCTGATTGCAGCATCTTAATCTACGGACCATTCTCCATAAGATAGGATAGTTAAAACGGAAATCTGAGAGATGAAATTTTCATTCTTAAGAAAAAGTTGCCAAGGGGGGGTGCTTGATACTTTTTTTCGACGATTTTCAATAATTCATATCTCTTAAACTAAAAGAGATAGCTACCAACAAATCGCTGATTATGAAAGATTGGAAAATTCTCTATCAGATAAAAATATAAAATAATTATATTTCCAATAGTAAAAGGTCGAAAAACGCGATTAAAAGTGCTAAAAAGTGACATTTTTCAATTTTTGACGATTTTTTTCAATCGCGAATATCTCGTAGACAAAAAGAGATAATTAAGATCTGATCGCAGCATCTTAATCTATTGGACTATTTCATAAGATAGGATAGTTAAACGGAAATCTGGAGAGGTAAAATTTCTTTGCCTTAAGAAAAATTGTATAAGGGGGGTGCTTTGATACTTTTTCGACGATTTTCAATAATTCATATCTCTTTAAACTAAAAGCGATATCAACCAAGCGAAATTGTTGATTATGAGAGACTGGAAAATTCTCTACTGTGATAAAAAATATAAAACAATTATATATTTCCAACAGTAAAAGGTCAAAACGCGACTCAAAAGTGCAAGTGAAAAGTGACATTTTCTCAATTTTGCCCGTTTTATACAATCGCGAATATCTCTCGTAGATTAAAAAGAGAAATAAAAGCAACGAATGGCAAGGTCTTAATCTACGGGAAATTCTGTATAATATGAGTTAGTTAAATTGGAAATTCGAATTCAGTAGCATATGTCTTTTGAACTATACGCGCTAGCGACCAGCCGATCAAAGATCCCAACGTTCATAAATAAAAACTCCCGTTTAGCCACTTGATACTTAATGTACTATTAAATACAATTTAACACTGTTTTTTGACAGTTTATTTATCAAAAGTGGCTATAATTAATTGAACCACATTGAACTTTTCAGCAATGGGAAGTTTTCTTGCTAATCATTCTTTAATTTATACGCTAATTAATATGACAGTATCATATGTCATTGTTATAATCCAAATGTACCAAACGAATTATGGAGAAATATTTCAAAATATACTATGCTATGTTATCTAACACCTGCGTCCCCTAACCAGATGTTTACGCTGGCTGACAATTGTCTTCTTCCCGTTTAGTCGGTCGTGCGCGGTGGTGTTGTGAGCTCGTGTTTTGTTTTGTTAGTCTCTTCGTAGCTATTAATTGCGTTTCTTTAAAGTATTAATGTGATAATGGTATGGACGACAAATGAATTTTACAGCGAGTGTAGCTTTATGGTGTTATTGAATTGTCGGGACAATTTGAAGGGAATCGGATTTTTAGTGACTTATCCAAATATTTGTTAAGCTGCCGGCGGCTACCGTTTGCTTACTAATATGTCGGAATTGGTATTACTATATATTATTTTATGTATTCAATTGTTTATTTGTTTAAGCAAATATTTTTACTGTTGCACGGAAAAGACAATTAAGTGATCGGACGTTAATGCAAATTAGAACTATTATATTCATTAATTTTTTGTTTAGCGGGCGAACAATTCGCTATCGCAGGGACAACAGATCTTTAACCAAACTGTAGGTATTAAAATTCTTTATAATTTTCAAAAGCTAACTTGTAGGTTGAACCCTCCAAAACCTACAAAATGCTCCTTGTGTGTTTTAGCTCGACTGATTTTGTGGTTTTTTTGCTATAGCGGGCGAACGCCAAGCCGGAGGACAACCGTTCTTTTCACCAAATTGTATTGGAAATTTTTATTATTTTCATATATATTTGTTAGTTTATCCTCGGGAAACCTGCGGCTGCCAAAATGCCTCCTTTTTGTATTTTTTGCTCATCAAATTTTGTTTTTTTGTTATATAGCGGACGAACGCCATGTCGGAGGACAAACCGTTCTTTTCACCTCAAATTGTAGGTGGGTATTGAAATTTTTATTATTTTCATATATAATTTGTTAGTTTATCCTCGGGAAACCTCTCAAAATGCCTTTTTGTATTTTTTTTGCTCATCTAATTTTGTTGTTTTTTTGTTATAGCGGGCGAACGCTATGCTGGAGGACAAACCGTTCTTTTCAAATTCAAAATTGTAGGTATTGGAAATTTTATTATTTTCTATATAATGGTTAGTTTATCCCTCGGGAAACCTACAAAATGCCTTTTTGTATTTTTTGCTCATCAAATTTTGTTTTTTTTTATATAGCGGGCGAACGCTGTCGTGAGGACAAACCGTTCTTTCTCCAAATTGTGGTATTGAAATTTTTATTATTTCATATATAGTTTGTTGGTTTATGCTCAAAAACCTAATAAAATGCCCCTTTGTATTTTTTTGCCTATCAAATTTGTTTTTGTTATAGCGGGGCGAACGCCAAGTGTCGGAGGACAACCGTTCTTTCACCAAAATTGTAGGTAATTTAAAATTTTTATTATTTTCATATATAGTTTGTTGGTTTATCCTCGGGAAAACCCTCAAAAATGCCTCCTTTTTGGTGTATTTTTTTGCTCATCTAACTTTGTTGTTTTTTGTGTTATAGCGGGCGAACGCCATGCAAATGGGAGGACAACCGTTCTTTTCACCACATTGTAGGTATTGAAATTTTTATTATTTTTATATATAGTTTGTTGGTTTCTCCCCTCGGGGAAACCTACAAAAAATGCTCTTTTTGTATTTTGCTCATCTAATTTTGTTGTTTTTTTTGATATAGCGGGCGAACGCCATGCCGGAGGACAAACTGTTCTTTTCTGCCCGTAAATTGTGGTGGTATTGAAATTTCTTTATTATTTATATATAGTTTTGTTACGTCCTCGGGAAACCTACAAAAATGCCCTTTTTGTATTTCTTTTTTGCCTAATAAATTTTTGTTGTTTTTGTTATAGCGGGCGAACGCCATGCCGGAGGACAAACTTTCGTTCTTTCACCCACAAATTGTGGTATTGGAAATTCGTTATTATTTCATATATAAATTGCTTTTCGTTTCATTCCTCTTCGGGAAACCTGTACGAAAATGCCATTTTTTCTATTTTTTGCCTATCAAATTTTGTTGTTTTTGTTATAGCGGGCGAACGCGCCGGAGGACAAACCGTTCTTTCACCAAATTGTATTGGAAATTTTATTATTTTTGCTATAATTTGTTGGTTTTCCTCGGGAAACCTTCTCAAAATGCCTTTTTGTATTTTTCTGCTCATCTAATTTTTGTTGTTTTAATAGCGGGCGAACGCTATGCCGGAGGACAAACCGTTCTTTTCACCTAATTGTAGGTATTGAAATCTTTATTATTTTCATATATAGTTTGTTGGTTTATCTTCGGGAACCTACAAAATGTCCTTTTGTATTTTTGCTCATCTAATTTTGTTGTTTTTGTTATAGTGGGCGAACGCCATTCGAGGACAAACTGTTCTTTCTACCAAATTGTGGTATTGAAATTCTTTATTATTTTCATATAATTTGATGGTTTCTCCCTCGGGAAACCTCTTCAAAATGCCTTTTGTATTTTCGCTCATCTAATTTTGTTGTTTTTTGTATATAAGTGAACGCTATGCCGGAGGACAAACTGTTCTTTCACCAAATTGTGGTATTTGGAAATTCTTATTATTTTCTTATATATACTTTTGTTGGTTTATATCCTCGGGAAACCTAAGCAAAAATGCCTTTTGTATTTTTTGCTCAATAAATTTTGTGGCTTTTTGTTATAGTGGGCGAACGCTATGCCGAGTATTGCAACCGTTCTTTCTGGCACCAAATTGTGGTATTGAAATTTTTATTATTTTCGTATATAGTTTTGTTGGTTTATTCCTCGGGAAACCTACAAAATGTCCTTTTTGTATTTTGCTCATCTAATTTTGTTGTTTTTTTTGCTATAGCGGGCGAACGCCATTCCGGAGGACAAACCGTTTTTCACCAAATTGTGGTATTGAAGTTCTTATTATTTTCATATATAATTTGTTGGTTTCTCCTCTGGGAAACCTTCAAAAATGCCCTTTTGTATTTTTTCGCTCATCTAATTTTTTGATGTTTTTTTGCAATAAGGGTGAACGCTGCCGGCGGGACAAACCGTTCTTTCTGCTCCAAATTGTAGGTATTGGAAATTCCTTTTATTATTTCTGTATACTTTTGTTAGTTTTATCCTCGGGAAACCTGGCTAAAATGCCCTTTTGTGTTTTTGCTCGACTGATTTCCTTTTTGTTGTTTTTCCTCTTATTTTTAGTGGGCGAACGCTATGCCGGATAGACAAAACTGTTCTTTCAAATTCAAAATTGTAGGTATTGGAAATTTTTATTATTTCTTATATATACTTTGGTTATTTATCCCCTGGAAACCTAAGCAAAATGTCCTTTTTGTGTATTTTTTTTGCTCCATCTAATTTTTGTTGTTTTTATATAGTGGGCGTGAACGTCATGCCGGAGGACAAACTGTTCTCAAA